CTCTCATTCCCACTGGCACTACTTTAGTTTCGGCCATAATTATTCTAACCTAGGTTCTGACAAGATAAGTCTCCTAAATGGTCAAATACACTAATCCAATACATTTTCTAACTGCCCAAGTGATCTACTTAAAATGCAAATTGTAGGCCAGGCATGGTAGCTCACGCCTACAATCCCAGTACTGTAGGAGGCCAAGGCGGGCGGATCACTTGAGATCAGGAGTTCAAGACCAGCCTGGCCAACATGGTGGAAACCTCCATGTCTATTAAAAATGCAAAACTTAGCCAGGCATGGTACACAGGCCTGTAGTCCCAGCTACTTGGGAGGCTGAGGCAGGAGAATCACTTAAACCCAGGAGATGGAGATTGCAGTGAGTTAAGATTGTGCCACTATACTCCTGCCTGGGCAACAGAGTGAGAGTCTATCTAAAAAAATAAAATAAAATAAAAATTGTGTCATTTGATTCTCTCCTCCCTTAAAATCCTTCACTACCTCTATCATAGAAGAACCCAAACTCCTTAACACAGTATAAGAGCCTTTTCTGATCTGGCCTCACTTCTCCACTTCACATCTTGGTTGCTTTTCTCTCTCATCTCTGAGCAATGTCTTTTCCTTCATTTGTTGCCTGGCTAATTCTTCCCTGTTCCTACCCTGACCCGTTACTTTTTCTTTGAAAATTTCAAACCAACAAAAAGTTAACAAAATAATAAAATGAATATCTACCTGTCATCTAGACCAGTTGATACTTTTTTTTGCCACATGTACATCATGACAGGTTAACTCCTAAAACTTCAGCAAGTATTTCTTATGAACAAGAACATCCTTCTACATAATGAAACATCATAATCACATTCAAAACACTTTTTTAATTTCTTAAAAAAACTTTTTGCAACAACATGGGTTTGCACACCCAAAATATATAACATTGACCCAATATTACCTATCATGTAGTCCCTACTGAAATTTTCCCAATTATTCCAAAATGTCCTATAATTACAGTTTGTTTAATTCAGGATCAAACCAAGGATCATTTTGGTGGTTATCTTTTGCCCCTTATTTTTCAGGACTCAATTCTGGAATTATATCTCCTGGGAAGCCCTCTATGACTCCCCCTACCCAGTCTGGGTTACGTACCTCGTTCAGATGCTTTCATTCTACCATTATCACAGTATAGTTACACTATTTTGCAATCATCTGTTTATCTAACTGTCTCCCCTAATAAACAGTAATCTCTTTGAAGACTTTTTACTCTCCAGGCCCTACTGTCTGGCTCATAATAGATACTCAATAAATGCTGGCTGAATAAATGAAAGAAAGCATTATAAACAGGAAATACAATTGTTATGGACTAAATTGTGTCGCTTAAAACTCGTATGTTGAAGCCCTAACCCCAGTGTAATTGCATTTGGATACAGGGCCCTGAAGGAGGCAATTATGGCTAAATGAATTCATAAAATGGGAACCTAATCCAATAGAATTGGTGTTCCTATAAGAAGAGGAAGAGACACCAGGAATGTGCACACATAGCGCAAAAGCCATGTGAGACCAGAAGGCAGCTGTCAGCAAGCCAGGAAAAGAGGTCTCACTAGAAACCAAACCTGCCAGCATCTTTATGTTGAACTTCCAGCCTCCAGAACTGTAATATTCTGTTGTTTAAGCCACCTAGTTAGTGGTATTCTGTTATGGCAGGCCAAGGTGACCAATATAATGAACAAAATCTATGCATCCTGGTTCCTATGAATGATGGAACGCTAAGCAAAACCTATACCACTGCTAGAACAAAGATACCTACAGAAGACATCCCCCCTGCTTCCGGAAAAATGAACCCCACATTTAACAGAAAGAATGGCAAAAAAAAAATTATTCTGACATTATGACACATAAATTTAACGAAAAAAATGGATCTTCAAAAATACAAACACCAAGCCGGGCGTGGTGGCTCAAGCCTGTAATCCCAGCACTTTGGGAGGCCGAGGCGGGTGGATCACGAGGTCAAGAGATCGAGACCATCCTGGTCAACATGGTGAAACCCCGTCTCTACTAAAACTACAAAAAATTAGCTGGGCATGGTGGCGCGTGCCTGTAATCCCAGCGACTCAGGAGGCTGGGGCAGGAGAATTGCCCGAACCCAGGAGGCGGAGGTTGTGGTGAGCCGAGATCGTGCCATTGCACTCCAGCCTGGGTAACAAGAGCGAAACTCCATCTCAAAAAAAAAAAAAAAAAAAAAAAAAAAAAGAATACAAACACCAAAATTATTAGCATCAATAAACATCTGCAGCAATTCAATCGGATGGAAAAGATGGTAGAGTTACATAAAGAATGTAAAGAGTAGCCTAGGGCATGGGGGCTCACGCCTATAATCTCAGCACTTTGGGATGCCGAGGCAGGTGGATCACCTGAGGTCCAGGAGCTCGAGATCAGCCAGACCAACATGGAGAAACCCCATTTCTACTAAAAATACAAAATTAGCAGGTTGTGGTGGCACATGCCTGTAATCCCAGCTACTCAGGAGGCTGAGGCAGGAGAATCACTTGAACCCAGAAGCCGGAGGTTGCGGTAAGCCAACAGTGCCCACTGCACTCTAGCCTGGGCAACAAGAGCAAAACTCCGTCTCAAAAAAAAAAAAAGAATGTAAGGAGTAAAAGTGAGTTTGGTGAAGGTAAAAAAATTAAAATTAAAAAAAGGCTGGGCACAGTAGCTCACATCTGTAATCCCAGCACTTTAAGAGGCTGAGGCAGGTGGACTGCTCAAAGCCAGATGTTTAAGACCAGTCTGTTCAACAGAGTGGGATCCTCATCTCTATAAAAAATTTTAAAAATTAGCTAGGCATGATGGCACTTGCCTATAATCCCAGCTACTCAGGTGGCTGAGGCAAAAGAATCACTTGAACCCAGGAGGCAGAGTGCAGTGAGCTGAGACTGCACCACTGCACTCCAGCCTGGGCGACAGCGCGACTCTGTCTCAAAATAAATAAATAAATAAATAAAGAGCACACATCAAAAGGAAATTTTCTACAGGGCTTAGAATAGCATTATAGACTCATCTTCCCAGTTTCTACACTTTAATATCTGCTGCTAAGTTGCTACATGTACATTTCTATGCTCATCTTCCCCATGCAGATTGTGAAGACAAAGGCAGAGGCCATGTCATGGGGTGGAAGCAACTGCTTCGATCACTAACAGTGGCTGGAATAGTGTTCTACTCCAGGTACACTCTTCATAATTGCTGGAAAATGATCATTATAGACAACTGACCCACCTTCTAATTATTCAGTATCATAGATTCTCAACAGAACAACTGATTGGTCTACAAGCCTTCTCTCAAACACTCTTCCTCATGTTGAGCTTCACAGTTATCACCTTGGAGACTCAGAAAATGATTCAGCTTTGAGCTTGCTAACTCAGCAGTCTGATGCATTAGCAGAAGCCAAGATTTTTTTTTTTTCTGTTTTTTTTTTTTTTGAGACGGAGTTTTGCTCTTGTTACCCAGGCTGGAGTGCAATGGCACGATCTCGGCTCACCGCAACCTCCGCCTCCTGGGTTCAGGCAATTCTCCTGCCTCAGCCTCCTGAGTAGCTGGGATTACAGGCATGCGCCACCATGCCCAGCTAATTTTTTGTAGTTTTAGTAGAGACGGGGTTTCACCGTGTTGACCAGGATGGTCTCGATCTCTTGACCTCGTGATCCACCCGCTTCGGCCTCCCACAGTGCTGGGATTACAGGCGTGAGCCACCGCGCCCGGCCAGCCAAGATTTTTTTTTGAAGGATGCCAAATCCATAGCAAAAGCCAAGATTTTTTTGATAAAATGCATTTTGGTGGAATTTAAATAAAACCAGAGTATTCATAGCTATTCCAATTTCCAAACAGCTCATTTTAAGAAACTTAGAAAACTGAGAGAATTTGACCAACTTCTATGCACACTTTGCTTTTTCTGCAGTACCCAGAAAAGGACACAAATCCACTAACTTAGTATTATAGAATTCTTTCACAAATAGCTGATAACATTACTGTTTGAAATTTACTTTGGATGCTGAATAACATGAGTGTAATCATTCAAAACATGCTTATGGTCTGAACTCGTTTTTTTTTTTTTTTTTTTTTCGAGACAGTCTTGCTCTGTCACCAGCCTGGAGTGCAGTGGTGCAATCTTGGCTCACTGCAAACCCCACCTCCCAGGTTTAAGCAACTCCCCTGCCTCAGCTTCCTGAGTAGCTAGACTACAGGCATGTGCCATCATGCCTGGCTAATTTTTTGTATTTTAGTAGAGACAGGGTTTCACCATGTTGGCTAGGATGGTCTCGATCTCCTGACCTTGTGATTTGCCTTCTTCAGCCTCCCAAAGTGCTGGGATTACAGGTGTCAGCCACCAGGCCTGGCCCATGGTCTGAACTTGTAAATATCAGGTTATAAAGTGAAATCAGGGTCAGATGTATAACAAAAAAAAATTTTTTTAAGAGACAAGGTCTTATTCTGTCACCCAAGCTAGAATGCAGCGGTGTAATCATAGCTCACTGCAGCCTGGAGCTCCTGGGCTCAAGCGATCCTTCCTCCTAAGCCTCCCAAGTAGCTAGGACTACAGCCACATGCCACCATGCCCAGCTAAGTTTTTTTTTTAATTTTTTTGTAGAGAGGAGGTCTTGCTATGTTGCTCAGGCTGGTCTCAAACTCCTGGCCTCAAGTAATCCTCCCCACTTGGCATCCCAAAGCCCTGGGATTATAGGTGTGAGCCACTACATCCAGCTTGTATCAAAATCTTGACCACACTTGGGACTTAACAATTAACTTCTATTACTTCAAAGTATTAATAAATCTCTGAACTTTTTTCTATTAAGTCTAATGTTTGATACTGAAAAAGCTAAAGTCATTGGAGAGTTTTTACTTCTACACTTGTTTTTCAAATAAAAATTAAATTGAAAGCAAAGAAACTATAAATACAAACAGGTCTGGCCCCTCATGCATATATACATACATACAAGGTTTTTATTCTTAACATCAGTTACCTTCTGCCCTTCTCACAAAGCTTCTCAATTTCAGCTTTCAGATCCTGCTCCTTCTGTAAAAACTCCTTCTTTTCTTTCTCTATCTTCTTCTTTGTTTCTTCTCGTTTTATTGTCACATCCTGAATAGCCTTTAGTATCTCCTGAGTTCCACACAATTACAGTCGAACACAAATAAAAAAGAAAACAAGTTAGTTCTTCTGATGTGAAGGTTATTTTCAACTATCACAAATTCACATATTGACTTTAGTGATTCAAACTGAATTCAAAGAATATGGTTGATGAGTAGCTCCAAAAGCCAGTATTCAGACCCAAAGGAGAAGGTTATAGTAATGCAGATTGCAGCTCAACAAGAAAAATAATTTCTAGCAACCACAATTGTTCAAAAAAGGAATATACTGCCTTGTGAAGCAGTAAGCTCTCCATTACTGGTGTTCAAATAAAGGCTGAATGAACATGAACACCTGTCAAGAATGCTGAGAAAAGAGTTCCTGTACCAGGTGGGAGTCTGTACATCCAACAAGCATTGTCTTGTTTCGTTTTGTGAAAGAGTCTACTTTATTACGTATGGGTTTTATTTGTTTTACTACTTAACAACAACAAATACACACACACACACGTACAAACACACACACGTACAAACACACATGCTTTTTTTTTCAATTAGGAGTCAAATAGGCCAGGAGCAGTGGCTCATGCCTATAATCCTTGCACTTTGGGAACCCAAGGCAGGAAGATCACCGTGTCCAGGAGTTAGAGGCCGACCTAGGAAACATGCAAAGACCTTGTCTCTACAAAAAGTAAAAAAATTAGCCAGGCGTGGTGACACATGTCTGTGGTCCAGATACTCGAGAGGCTGAAGTGGAAGGATAGCTCGAGACCAGAAGGTCAAGGATACAGTGAGCCTTGATTGTACCCACTGTATTCCAGCCTGGGCAACAGAACAAAACCCAGTTTCAAAAAAAAGTAAAACAATACAAAGGCGATGAAAAGTCACCCCCACCCCCACTTCATACCACTTCCACCCATAAGAGTAATCAATATGTTAACTGCTTTGTATTACACTTTCACATCTTTCTCTATGCTCACACAAAGGCATGTATACTTAGGTATGCATTTCTTTGCTTTTTTTTTTTTAAATGAAGTTATTTTACATACATTATTTTGCATCCTGATTTCTTTTACTTGACATGAATGTATTATGTCAATAAATATGGATCTAATTCAAAAATACCTGTATAATATAACACAGGTGTATCTAACTAATCCGAACATTCTCTACTAAAAGTCTGAGTATTAACACCTTTTTTTTGAGACAGGGTATCGTTCTGTTACTCAGGCTGGAGTGCAGTGGCACAATATCAGCTCACTGCAACCTCTGCCTCCTGGGCTTAAGCAATCCTCCCACTTCAGCCTCCCATGTAGCCGGGACCACAATGCCTTGGACAGGCACTACTGAATGTTTCTTGTGTGCACCACCATGCCCAGTTCATTTTTGTATTTTTGGTAGAGATAGGGTTTTGCTATGTCGCCCAGGCTGGTTTGAACTCCTAGACTCAGTGATCCACCTGCCTCGACCTCTAACAGTGCTGGGATTACAGGTGTGAGCCACCATACTCGGCCTTGCCTTTTTATTTCAATTAACTTAAAAATAAAATCAAAGTTTGAGCCGGGCATGAATGGCTCAAACTTTATTTTTGAGTTAACTGAAATAAAAAGGCCTCCTTTGGGAGGCCAAGGCAGTTGAATTTTTTGAGTCTGGAGTTCAAGACCAGCCTGGGAGACATGGTAAAACCCCATCTCTACCAAAAATACAAAAAACGAGCCAAGCATAGTGGCACACGCCTGTGTTTCCAGCCACTTGTGAGGCTGAGATGGGAGGATCGCTTGAGCCCAGGAGGCAGAGGCTGCAGTGAGCCAAGACGGGGCTATTACACTCCAGCCTGAGTGACACAGTGAGACTCTGTCTCAAAAATAAATAAATAAAAAGTTTTAAAAAATTAAAGTTTGATCAGGGACTGTTGCTTAACTCACTGACAATTTCAATATAAGCAGAATACCTGGTGATTCTTCATTTCTTCTTCTCTCCTTTGCTGAAGCTGCTTTAACTGCACTTGGAGCTGATTCTCCACTTGCCTCTGTTTGTCCAGGACTTCCTGGTAACGCTCTTTCAACAGGGTTCTCTCTGTCATCATTTTATCCTATTATGAACAAGACCAGAAAAGTTTATTTCCTAATTTAATCACAAGAAACATTCACTAGTGCCTGTCCAAGGCATTGTATAGAGCTCTATGACTACACTATCCAATTTTGAAGCCACTAGCCATATGTGGCTATATTAATTTAAATTCATTAAAATATGATGAAATTGGCTGGGCATGGTGGTTCTCACCTATAATCACAGCACTTTGGGAGGCCAAGGCGGGCAGATCGCTTGTGTTCAGAAATGAGAGACAGGCTTGAGCAACATGGCAAAACCTTGCCTCTAAAAAAATTTAAAAATTAGCTGAGCATGCCAGCACTCAACTGTAGTCCCAGCTACTTGGGAGGCTGAGGTGGGATGATCACTTGAGCCTGGGAGGCGGAGGTTACAGTGAGCTGAGATCATGCCACTGCACTTCAGCCTAGGCAACAAAGCAAGACTGTCTCAAAAAAGCGTCCAGGAACATGATTCCTTACTGCTTAATAATAACACTGAAAACTGATGGATCTACTCAAGAGGTCTGGGAACCTGGTATGGAGACTGAACAATTCAGCACGCTTTCATATAAAGTAGGGATTAGAAGCGAAGCTTCTAGCCTAGGCACAGTGGCTCCTGCCTATAATCCCAGCACTTTGAGGGGCCAAGGTGGGAAGACTGCTTGAGGTCAGGAGCTCATAACCAGCCTGGGCAACACAACAATACCTGGCCTCTATCAAAAAATAACAACAATAAATAAATAAATAGAAGTGCTACTGAAAACAGTTGAGTTCTGCCACCCCCATGTCAGTAAATCAAGAAAATCAATGGTTACCTTTCAAAGGGACGTTAAAATTTGAAGAGGGTCAACTTAAAACACATTTGGTATGAAGTAGCCTGTGTAATATTTAAACTGAGAGCTCTAAACTGAATTTTTTCATTAAATAATAACCATTTTAAAAAAATTTTAGAAATGAATGGGGGAAACATCATATTATAATCATTTTTATGAAAGGCTCTCAAGGCTGGGCGCAGTAGCTGATGCCTGTAATCCCAGCACTTTGGGAAGCTGAGGTGGGCAGATCACTTGAGGTGAGGAGTTCAAGACCAGCCTGGCCAATGTGAAATCCCATCTCTCCTAAAAATACAAAAACTAGCTGGGCATGGTGGCACACGCCTATAATCCCAGCTTGGGAGGCTAAGGCAGGAGAACGGCTTGAACCTGGGAGGCAGAGGTTGCAGTGAGTGAAGTGCGCACCATTGCACTCCAGCCTGGGTGACAGAGCAAGACTCAGTCTCAAAATAAATAAATAAATTAAATTAAATTAAATTATATTAAAAATAAAAAAGGCTCTCAAGATAGAACTTTGGCTTTGGCGTAAGCTGATCTTTAGTCCATGTACTGAAATGTGACTAAGCTGTCCCAAATAGCTGATTCCTTAGCATCATGCCTTTCTAGCAATTCTGAACCTGGATTCTACAGGTGAACCTCAGGAAATCTTTGAACTCTCTGCAACTAGTGTATGTATATATTTTTTTGAGATGAGAATTCCAAGTTTCCAAAAGATTCTGAAAGAGGATCTTAACCAAAGAAAAGTTGAAACCAGCAAATTATTCTTTTTTTGAGACGCAGTCTCACTCTGTTGCCCAGGCTAGAATGTGGGGGCACAATCTCAGCTTACTGCAACCTCTGCCTCCCGGGTTCAAGAGGTTCTTGTGTCTCAGCCTCCCAAGTAGCAGGGATTAAAGGCATCGCACTAACACGCTCAGTTAATTTTTGTATTTTTAGTAAATAAGGGCTTTTGCCACGTTGGCCAAGCCTGTCTCAAACTCCTGGCCTCAAGCAATCCAGCTGCCTCAGCCTCCCATAGTGCTGCGATTACAGGTGTGAACCACTGCACCCAACTCTTTTTTTTCTTTTTTTTTTGAGACAGAATTTCGCTATGTCTCCCAGGCTGGAGTGCAGTGGTGCGATCTCAGCTCACTTCGATCTCTGCCTCCTGGGTTCAAGTGATCTCGGCTCACTGCAATCTCTGCCACCTGGATTCAACTGATTCTCCCGCCTCAGCCTCCCAAGTAGCTGAGATTACAGGCATGTGTCACCATGCCCAGCTAATTTTTTTTTGTATTTTTAGTAGAGACAGGGTTTTACCATGTTGCCCAGGCTGGTCTCAAACCCTTGACCTTAAGAGATCCATACACCTCGGCCTCCCAAAGTGCTGGGATTACAGGGATGAACCACCACACATTGCCTTTTTTTTTTTACCACAACTCTTTCCCTTTACTTCCTTCTTTTTCTAAAATACATTTTAAAAATTATTATTATTATTATTATTATTATTATAGAGATGAGGTCTCACTATGTTGCCCAGGCTGGTCTTGAACTTCTAGACTCAAGCAATCCACCCACCTCAGCCTCTTAAAATGCTGGGATTATAGGCATAAACCACCGCACCCCACTTATGATGCATGTTTAGGACACAGGATCGGGGAAAAACTAGTATCATGGAAAAAAGTCTTAAGGTACATACTATTACAACATACAAGGAGATAACTTAAAGGTGTGCTTGAACCAATTTGTCTATCTTAATGAGCCAAAGGGTTTATACACTGTTACTCTGCTTCATCAGTAGCTAGTTGGTTCCTAGGACTAGGAGTAACAATTTCAAATGTAGGTAGTGGGCAATGGTCATAAATATATGAAAAGGGTAGAAAACAGAACAGGAGTCAGGTTTCTTATACTGCCACCAAGCTTGACAACCTGCTTAGTTTCACTGCCTTTTTGTTTTGTTTTGTTTCTGGAGACAGAGTCTTGCTCTGTCACCCAGCCTGGGCTCACTGCAACCTCTGCCTCCCGTGTTCAAGCAATTCTCTGGAGCAGCCTACAGAGTAGCTGGGATTACAGGTACCAGCCACTATGTCTGGCTAATTTTTGTCTTTTTAGTAGAAATGAGGTTTCACCATGTTGGCCAAGCTGGTGTTGAACTCCTGACCTCAGGTGATATGCCCGCCTTGATCTCCTAAAGTGCTGGGTTTACAGGCACGAGCCACCGCACCCGGCCTCACTTCCTTTTTAAAAGCATATGGACCTCACTACCACACATAAATAGAGTCAAACGAAACACAACCTTGGGCCTCTTTTGGTTCAGTAACTTGCTGGGTTTCCATTCATTCCTGCTAATTGTAACTTGACTGTTACAATTAAGTCCTGAGTTGCTACACTCTATTTTAAAATTTTTATTGGCTTCATCTGGTTAATGTCCACCAATAACTTTTTTCCATCTGCCCTTCAATTTCTTCAGTTTGTACCAAATATCCACTCTCTTATCTGGTTGCCACAAGCACTTTCTCTTTTTATACCCTCTTCATAAATTAACCTATCTTATCCTAAAGACCTCTTCCTAAGGTGCCTTTCCCAGCATTACTTTCCCTTTAAAAAATGTACATTTAGACATCCATATATTTAAAGGTGGAAGTTTTAGCCACAAAATGCCCGGGATGGATCAAAGGAAACATTTTAACAAAGATAGGTGTGATGCTCTCTACTTATGTTTCAAAAACCAACTATCTGGGGATAAAATTAGAAAGACCAGTAAATAATACATTGAAAAAAGGCTGGATGGAGTTTGACTAAAAGCTTAACAGTATGACAGAGTTGCCAAAATAAGTCAATGTAAGCTTAAGAAATACTGCCTAGAATGAGAGATACTGAGAGACCCACTGTATTGTAAAGTAATTATACTAACTCTATACTATTACATATGGTTCTCAAGATCGCTTTTTAAAACAAATACTGATAAAATGGACCACGTCTAGGTGAAAGTAACCAGAATGATAATACAGAAATGGAAAACAGTATCAAAAAGAATACTAAAAACATCTGGGGATGTTTCACCTGGAAAGGTTTGAACTTGGGGAATAAGAGAATAAAGGGAAGAGGCATAAAAAAACTTTAAAATATACACAAGGCTAACAAGGAGAAAAGGAACTGGATGTATTCCATAAAGCTCAAGGAAAGCTATAATAAGAATTTTTTTTTTTGAGACTGAGTCTTGCTCTGTTGCTAGGCTGGAGTGCAGTGGCACAAACTCAGCTCACTGCAACTTCCACCTCCGGGGTTCAAGTGATTCTCCTGCCTCAGTCTCCTGAGTAGCTGGGACTATCGGTGTGCACCACCACGAGCAGCTAATTTTTGTATTTTTAGTAGAGATGAGGTTTCACCATGTTGGCCAGGATGGTCTCGATCTCTTGACCTCAAGGGATCCATCCATCTCGGCCTCCCAAAGTGCTGGGATTACAGACGTGAGCTACTGTGCCCAGTCAGAACTTTTTTTTTTTTTGAGATGAAGTCTCACTCTCTTGCCCAGGCTAGAGTGCAGTGGCTCAATCTCAGCTCAGTGCTACCTCGACCTCCCGGGTTCAAGCAATTCTCCTGCCTCAGCCTCCCAAGTATCTGTGATTACAGGCATGCACCACCACCTTTGGCTAATTTTGTTGTTGTTGTTGTTGTTGTTCGTTTGTTTGTTTTTTGAGACAGCGTCTAGCTCTGTCACTCAGGCTGGAGCGCAGTGGTGCGATCTTGGCTCACTGCAATCGCCGCCTCCCAGGTTCAAGCTATTCTCGTGCCTCAGCCTCTCGAGTAGTTGGGATTACAGGCAAGCACCATCATGCCAGGCTACTTTTTTTATTTTTAGTAGAGACGGGGTTTCACCATGTTGTCCAGGCTGGTCTCAAACTCTGAGCTCAGGCGATCGGCCTGCCTCCACCTCCCAAAGTGCTAGGATTACAGGTGTGAGACACCGCGCCTGGCCTAAATTTTTGTATTTTTAGTAGAAACAGGTATTCACCATGTTGGTCAGGCTAGTCTGGAACTCCTGACCTCAGGTGATCCACCAGCCTCAGCCTCCCAAAGTGTTGGGATTACAGGCATGAGCCACCATGCCTGGCCTTTTCTTTTTTTAAATTTTTGTTTCAGACAGTCTCACTGTCACCCAGGCTGCAGTACAATCACACAATCACAGCTCACATAGCCTCCTCCTCCTCCTGTGCTCAGGTGATCCTCCCACCTCAGCCTCCTGAGCAGCTAACACTATAGGCATGTACCATCACACCTAGCTAATTTCTGTATCTTTTTTAGTAGAGATGGGGTTTTTCACCATGTTGGTCAGGGTAGTCTCGAACTCCTGACCTTGTGATCCACCTGCCTTGGCCTCCCAAAGTACTGGGATTACAGGTGTGAGAAACTGCACCTGGCCAGAGCTACTTTTTTTTTTTTTTTTTAAATGTAACTGGTTGTTTTATGAGGTAGTAAGCTTCCCATCTCTGGAAGTAATCAAGGAAAAGTTAGCTGATCATCTGTCAGGTATTTTATGAAGGGGACTCCTGCACCTTTTCTAAGTGAGGTGATGTTGCCTCTAGATCCTCTGTTTGAATGGTTTCATGTAACAACAATGACAGTTTAAATACTTACCAAATTCTTTTCAATATCTTGATCTGTGTTTACCTCTGAATCAGCCGTCTTAAAATCAGTCTATAAAGGAAAAAACAGTTTTATTAAGAACTGTTCAGAGACACTTTAAAAGAGGCAGAATCACTAACTCCTAGAATTCTGCCAGAGGTAACTAACTTTTTGCTGCTTCCCCTTACCAGCTCCCAAGCAAGCTAAGCAATGTAGTTCTGGCAAATGGACACCAACATATACACTGCATTAATCTTCGGTTCCACAAAATAACCTGAACAAGACCCAATGATTGAGAGAAAGCCTCAAGTCTGAGATGAGAAGTTTGCTCTCTACAGTCTGTTGTGCCCATGCTTTCTCCTACAACAAAGCCACCCATCACTAGAAGGCAGGACACACTGTACTTCTTAAGATGTGACTCAGAGAATTAACAAGGATTCTTCCTGCAAGGACAAAGGTGATAAATATGAATGCTAATGTCCTGCACTCATCAGTTACTCAGTGAAAGACAATAAGTAGGCCATAAAATTCCTACTTGCCATAAGATTAGATAGTGGCTACTGACTTTCTTATTTACTGAACATCAGAATGAAGTCATTGCATAGCACTGTATGAAAGCAGTATGACGGTTGCTAGCAAAAAAAAAAAACAAAACAAAAAACAAGACATAAAATTCTCCACCAAATGTGAAGAACTACCTCCTACACTGAACCCCTCCCCACCAATTCCATTTTAGTGGCAGAAACTCGACACATGACCTGTACAGCAATGTTCTGAGAAAGCTTCAGGGAAGAGCTATCTTGATCATCATCCTGATCCACTCGGACTCCTTCAACCCCATTTGCTGGAGGCATTACAGGTCGGAAATCCAAGCCCGTGTCCCTGCTGCCTTCCTTTAGGATGGAGACTTGTGGGGATTTCTCTTCAGAGCAATTCCCGGAGGCAAGCTGCTTTGTATGGCACCCTGCCTTAAGAGACCGAGCGACTGGATGGAGGCTCTCCCGGAGGCTTGTGTCCCCTCCTTCCTCTCCTGCTGTGCTGGCCACGTCCTTCAAATCAGACTGAGACCCACTGCCAGAAAGACAAAGGGCTGTGGCTACCAAGTTTTCTCCTAAAACCGCCTGGTGCGCTGCAGAAGTGTCACCTGCTGATGAACCAGGATTCGGCTCCGAGTGCTCCAAGTGGACATTTCTGTTATTCTCCTTGGTTATCGTTTGGCTACTTACACTCAATAGAGGCGAGTTCTTCTGCTTCTGTGCAGAGTCTTTAGTGCTATCAAACACATAATATAGAAAGAAAAGTATATAATACTTTCAATATAACTACTAGAAGAACAAAACTAGACTATGTCAACCCTCCCCATTATCATAATGAAGAACTTACTTTAAACCCAGTGATTTCTATGCCATGTGCAGGTAGCATAACTTTAGTGGTTAAGACCTAGTTTTGTATTTCTTTTTTTTAAGAGAGTATCTCACTCTGTCACCCAAGCTGGAGTACAGTGGTGCAATCAAGACTCACTGCAGTCTCAGCCTCCTCAGCTCATGGGATCTTCCCGCCTGAGCCTCCCAAGTAGCTAGGACTACACATGCCACCACACACAGATAATTTTTTGTATTTTTTGCAGGATTTTGCCATGTTGCCCATGCTGGTCTCGAGCTTGTGAGTTCAAGGGATCCATTCGCCTGCCTCAGACTCCCAAAGTGTTGGAATCACAGGCGTGAGCCACCACAGCCGGCCAAAAACCTGGGTTCTAAAAACAGTCTACAGTAAATTGCCAAACATAAATGACTCTGAAGATCCAAATAATTTTTGAGAGCCAATTTGAATAACTTTTGGGGATACAGATGAAACAACCTAATGCTAGTTAGAATATTTAATTTAGTTACATGCATTAATTTTTTTTTTTTTTTTTTTTTTTGAGATGGAGTCTCACTCCCATCGTGCCAGCAGGAGTGCAGTGGCGCGATCTCGGCTCACTGCAACCTCCACCTCTCAGGCTCAAGTCATTCTCCTTTCTCAGCCTCCCAAGTAGCTGGGATTATAGGTGTGCACTACCACGCCTGGCTGAGTTTTGTATTTTTAGTAGAGATGGGGTTTCACCATGTTGGCCAGGCTGGTCTCAAACTCCTGACCTCAGGTGATCCTCCCAAAGTGCTAGGATTACAGGCGTGAGCCACCATGCCCAGCCTACATGTACTAATTCGGTTATACATAATATTATAATAAAATATGAAGTTAGAAATATTGTTTTTATTCCTCTCACCTTTCACAACAATAATTTTCATTCAAACTCATTATACAGATCTTTTACCAGAACCACTTTATTTCTTCAACAGTTTTCCAGAGTATAGCACCTACACTTTAAGTTGTTTCAAGTGCAGACAATTTTGAATCCAAAATTGAAGCTGTCAATAGAAATTTTATCCCAGACAGTAAGTATACATATGCTTAACATTAGGATATTCTGTCATTTGTCACAGCCTTTCAAGGTACTGCTTTATTTATTTATTTATTTTATTGAGACAGGGATTCACTTTGTCACCCAGGCTGAAGCGAAGTATTGCTTTTTTTTTTTTTTTTTTTTTTTTCTTTTTTCAGACAGTCTCTTGCTTAGTCGCCCAGGCTGGAGTGCAGTGGCGCAATCTCGGCTCACTGCAACCTCCGCCTCCCAGGCTCAAGTCATTCTCCTGTCTCAACCTCCCAAGTAGCTGGGATTACAGGCACCCGCCACCAGGTCCGGCTAATTTTTGTATTTTTAGTAGAGATGGGGTTTTACCATGTTAGCCAGGCTGGTCTTGAACTCTGACCTCAGGTGATCCACTCGCTTCAGCCTCCCAAAGTGCTGGGATTACAGGCATGAGCCACCGCACCCAGCCGAGGTATTGCTTTTTAAAGAGGTCTTTAAAACATATTTACAGTGACATCCAATATTCATAGTTGTACATCTTTCACCCAGGAATTAAACACAGGAATTAAGTCTATGTTTAATTTCTTTGACCCCACCCTCTTTTTGTAAACTAATTCTATAACTGACACTCTTAAGCATACCCACCGGCACTGACTAAGGATTCAGGCTGAGGCAACTTTCTTTCCTCAATAGTACTTGTTCAAAATAAAACAACTGAAAGAATACCTTGGCCAGCAGCAATGGCTCATGCCTGTAATCCCAATACTTTGGGAGGTCAAGGCAGGAGGGTCATTTGAGGTCAGGAGTTCAAGACTAGCCTGGGAAACACAGCAAGACCCCGTCTCTACAAAAAATTTAAAAATTAGCCAAGAGTAGTGGCCGGTGCCTATAGCTCCAGTTACTTGGGAGGCTGAAGTGAGGGGACTGCTTAAGCCCAGGTGGTGGAGGCTGTAGTAAGCCATGATTGCACCACTGCACTTCAGCCTGGGTGATACAGCGAGGCTCTGACTCAATAATACAAACACTTGAACCACCATAAACACTCAAAGCTGATTACTTCTTGCTGGGAGTTAACTGTGAGGGGGTGCTTAATTAAAAATTCAGGGATATACAGTACCTGAGTTTGAATCCTGACTCCACCCACCTCCCCCCACCCCATTTACAAGCTGTTTGACTCTGGGCAAGTTACTTCATTTGTAAAACTGTTGTGAGGATTACGTAAGATAATGCACATAAAGTACTCAGTACAGTGCCTGGCACATAGTAAACATTCAATAAACCTTAGCTGCCATTATTATTACTAGTGCATGTAGCTGATTTTATCCAAACTCTCACTCCAACATAGCTTGGAAACCTTGGGCAAATTACTAACCTCTCTGTGTCTCAGTTTCCTCTCCTATAAATGGGAATAATATTATCACTTACCTCCTGGGACTGTTGTGAAGATTAAATGTGTTAACACATAGAGAGATATAGTTAAGTGTTAGCTGTAGTTAAGTATTAGAGGTCCCAGGTACTCTAGAAAAAAGTTGAGGGAGCCAGGTGCAGTGGCTCACCCCTGTAATCACAGCACTTTGGGAGGCCAAGGCGGGCAGATCACTTGAGGTCGGGAGTTTGATACCAGCCTGGTCAAGATGGTGACACCCTGTCTCTACTAAAAATACAAAAATTAGCCAGGCTGCAGCCCTAAAAAAGGATGAGTTCATGTCCTTTGCAGGGACATGGATGAAGCTGTAAACTATCATTCTCAGCAAACTAACACAGGAAAAGAAAACCAAATACTACATGTTCTCACTCATAAGTAGGAAGTGAACAATGAGAACACATGGACACAGGGAGGGGACTATCACATATTGGGGCCTGTTGGGGGTGGGGAGTTAGGGGAGGGATATAGCGTTAGGAGAAATACCTAATGTAGATGATGGGTTGATGGGTGCAGCAAATCACCATGGCATGTGTATACCTATGTAACACACCTGTGCATTCTGCCCATGTATCCCAGAACTTAAATTTTTAAAAAAGGAAATATATACCAAAAAAAAAAAAAATTAGCCAGGCGTGGTGGCGGGCGCCAAAATCCCAGCTAGTCAGGAGGCTGAGGCAGGAGAGTTACTTGGCCCCGGGAGGCAGAGCTTGCAGTGAGCTGATATTGCACCACTGCCCTCCAGCCTGTGGGACAGAGCAAGATTCCAACTCAAACAAAAAAGAGCTGAGGGAAAATACACAGTTGGCCTCTTGACGTAGAACGTGGGTTCCACATTCATGGATTCCACCAACCATGGACTGAAAATATTCAAAAGAATAAATGTTTGAGATGATGGATATGCTAATTACCCTGATCTGATCACTATACATTACATGCACATCACCATCCACCACCATGCATATGTACAATTACTGTGTCCATTTTTAAAATATAAAAATAAATCATTTAAAAGTGAAATACATTTGAAACCATTAAAAAATATTCAGAAAAAAACTGGATGGTTACATCTGTAATGAACATGTACAAACACCCTTCCTTGTTATTACTTCCTAAACAATACAACCATTTATATAGCATTTACATTTTATTAGTTGTTGTAAATCACCTAGAGATTATTTAAAGTATATGGGAGGACATGTGTAGGTTATATGCAAATTTTATATATTTTTAATTTTTTTATCTTTTTAATTGTTTTAAGAGAAGTGGGCATGTGCCTGTTCCAGATAAAATATCACACCATTTTATGTAAGGGACTTGAGCATCTACAGATTTTGGTATCCTCAGTAGAGGTCCTGGAACCAATCTCTAACATATACTGTGGGATGACTATATCTAATTTAGTTCAACATTGTACACAACAATGTATCATATTAGCCACCGTAAAATGCAACTTTGGGTAACTGTGTTTCCATATGTGTATATATACTTAGATATCCACGCCTATATAACATTTCTCATTTCTCATATATAACATATAAATATATGGTTAAACAAACATACAGTCCATGTAGGAAGTGGTTGAAAATTTTTGGCATTTTTTAACAAGTTTGACCCCATGTATTCTAATCTACTTATTCCCCAAACATTTAGCATGACTGCTAAGTATTAGCTGCTGTGCTAGATACCAGAAATACAAAGATAGATCAGATAGTCCTCTGCCTTTAAAAAGTTAGTGTAGGGGGACAGGGTGAGAAAAAAAAAAAAAAGAAAAAAGAAAAAGCCAGTGCAGTGCCATCAGAGCCAAAAAGAAAGACCAGCTACACAAGACCATCTCAAAAACCCTTTACCCAAATGAATCTTCCCAGTCAGGAGTCCACACATTACCTTAGACCATCTGGGAGGCCTTCGTCTGATTTGGAAGCACATAAACTAGAAGATTCCGGAGGACTGGGGGCATTGGCCACAACACCAGCGACCTCAGATGCTGCCATTATGCTCTGTACATTCAGAAACAAATTACAGGCTACAAGTTTCCAAAGTTTAAAACAAATGTATCTCTCCCCCCTCAGAATGTCCACACAACAGAGATGTTCCAGTAAAGAAACACAAAAACCTGGGCTCCAGGAGAAAATACTTAAAAGTACTGAAAGAGACATTGCATGCAAGGTCCCAGTAGGCACAATCCTCAGGAGTCACTGTATTTACATAAATATCTAGGAGTCTATGCAAAGATCTTATTTTCACTTTTGGCAGAAATGTAGTCATTTAAAACAACAGATCATAGTTTGTGAGGATCTTCCAAGTGGTCCCATGCCTACCTTGTCTGCTATCATTTATAATAAAAGATGTACCTTTTGGCCTAGTATCAATCAGATCTCATGTTTTTAAATCACTTTATGGTTGTTATATTCAAAGCATTCTCCATTAATTTAAGTGAAGTTTTTGGAGGTGCTTGCCAGTAAGTGAACAAGTAATGCCATACTGGGCAATCCAGGGTGCATCTTTACTGTCCCACTGATGGGAAAGGCCTGATACCCACTAACTGAGCAAAGTACATACTCTTCAAAGTGACTAGCGGTGCAAAAAAGAAGCCTCGGTTCTCTGGCATGAAAATGACAAGGTGAAAAACATGGCAACACAAGTAAGGGAACTGGGACGGATGCCTTTTTTAAAAATCAAAGGTCATCTTTTATGCTGCAGAGCAAACTTACGACATTATGAGGAGAAAAGAAAATCAAAATACTAGGGAGGTGGGGGTGAATGTAAGGTTAGTTTGCATTCTTGCTTTTATTTTAACCGCATCACAGGTATTCCCCCAGAAACACTGAAGAGGGCACGGGGTAGATATGGAGAAAGGGCTGTGTCAACACCTCAGTCACAGACCGCAGAACCTCTGTGCCTCAGTTTCCCTCATTATACAAAGCTCCTGGGAGAAAATGGGCCCCAAATCGCCATTACTTCTCCCTCAGGTGCAAACATGCCGTCTCCAATAGAGCCCAGGGCCCGGGGTTCTCGGCACCCGGTGAACGAAACCCCAGAACAAGGGTCACCCATGCAACTCCGTGGCTAGAGAGCCCGTGGCTCAGGGAGAAACAGCTGGCTGGAGGGTTGAGTGTGCCGAAAAGAACCCCGCAACCCGGGCGACCACCAGCGAGGCGGCGGCGCCGGAGCCACGGGTCCTCGGACGAAAACAGGGGACAGACGGGAAGGGGACAATGGGGGGAAGCGGCGCTGGCTGGCCTCCGCCACCCTCCACAGGGGACTGCTAGGCTGGCCGCTGGCTCGGAAAAGACCCCCCCCCCCCCCTTCCCCTCGGGCCCCCACCCCGCTGCCAGCCCCCCATCCCACTTCTAGGCCGGGACCCCCGCCTCGGTTCTCACAGCACCCTCCACGCCCCCCACCCGACCCCCGCCCCCGGCCCTCGCCCCACAGCCCCCTCCCACGCCCGCCCCGCACACACCTCCCGCGCCGCGCCCCCGAGAGAAAAGTGGGGGAGGGACGGGACGCACCTGAGCGGGCGGAGCGGGGGGAGGGGGCGGCCGAGCCACGGGGGGAGGGGTCGAGCGCCGGCCCGCGCACGGCACCTCCCACTTCCGGCGGCACGAGCGGAGGGGGCGAGGCTCCGGCCGCGAGAGGAGAGGCCGCGGTGGCGCTGCGCCGCCCCCGACGGCGCCCTCTGGCGGCCAGAGCTGGCGCCGCCGGGGCACTGGGATGCTGCGGGAGACCCCTGAGATACATACAGGTGGACTCTCCCGGGGCGCAGGGAAGAAGGGAAAGCCGACTCCGAGAAGTAAGGAGGCCTGGCGGGGCAGAAGCCCCTCTGGGAAGATTACAGGGACAGTCGGGGCCATGGCGGTCAAAGGGAGAAGAGCAACGAGGGGTTTTAAAGGTCGGAACCGAGATGCCCTCTAAAGAGGACGCCATGAAGGAGAAGAACCCTCTGAAGAGGGACCGTGTGGAAGATGCCCCGAGGACTCGGGGCGGCGGAGCCCGCGGGTTCAGCCCCCCGCGCCCGCACGGCCCCTGCCCGCGGAGGCCGCCCGCGGGAGCCGGACCCCGGGAGCCCGTTGCTGGGGCCCGCGAGGTCGCCGGGCCGCAGGCGTCGCGCTGATTGGCTGCGCCTCGGGCGGAAGTGATGCTGCTGTCACTGCTCCTCAGGCTCCCGGGAAGCCTCGAGTTTCCGCAGGGAGGCGGCGGCAGCTGCGGCCGGGTCGGTGAGTTAGGAACTAGGTGTGGGCTGGACCTGGGGAGTCGGGGGGGGCCAGAAGTTGGGGGAGCCAGCGTCTGAGGATGTGGGAGCTGCTCAGAGGGTGCCTGAGGTCCTGGCGTGGGGGACCCTAGGGAGATACGGCCCCAGGGTCCAGGATTCCAGAATAGTGTGGGTGCTAATGAGGAGGGGGCACATTGCACGGAGCGATCGAAGTCGATGGAGAGAGAATCGGGAAACTGACCCGGTACCCACGCTGGCTTCTAGGAGCGGGGTGCGGATCAGCGAGGGCAGTCACTTGGGAGCAGGATCTTAGACTCCAGGCTGCTCATTCTCTTCTTCCGTGTCAACTAAGAGCTGTAAAGAGAGGCCTAGCCATTGGGAGAGGTTGGCATCTGCCTTCAGAAGGCATTTAAGGTTCCTTTCCCAGAAGCTTCGGGGATAAAAATGCTGCTCTGCCACTGGGAGAAAGGAGGAGGTCATGCTTCTCTTTCTTCCGGAAATCTGTGGTGGGAATCTACGGAGTCTGAAGGAGCTAGCCTAGAGGGGTCACTGTCTGGCTAACAAGGGCCTTTTTTGTTTGTTTGCTTAGTAGACTATGCAGACTGGGGAAGACAAATATCTTGGGAGAATTGAGGCTCCCGGGGGCAGGGAGGGATTGAGAGGAAATATGTCTGGAAACCTAAGAGAAAAAGAGAGGAAGAAGTGTGGAATGAAGATTTTTAGAGGGAAATGAGAGGTGGCATAAGTTCTCCTCTCGCTTTCCAGGAAGTCTTTCAGTAAAATTCCCATTTTCCTGGAATGCGTTGAGGTAGAGCCGCTTGGGTTTGTGTCTGAGTACTAAGCCCTGCCCCAGGGCGGACTCAGTGGAGAGCAAAGGCTTTTAAAGGAGCCTAGCCACCATAGGTACAAACACGTCCTGCCACCCCATTTGTCTGTCCCTGAGTTTCTAACTTGGTTCTTCTTTTCTTTGAGGGCTCCTAAGACCAATTCCCTGGCTCTGCCAAACCTAGGCAATGGGAGTCCCAGTATGGAGCCCAAGTCCTCACCTTGAAGCCAGCCTCCTGAGCTCGGTACAGGGGTAGCTGCTTAGTGAGGTTCTCTGGTCATTCCTTCTCTCCTGTTTGCCCTTGGTGCCTGTTCTGTTTTGTTTGCACTTTCCGCCTTTCTTCTCGTTTCACCTCTACCTCCTGCCTCCTCTTACTTTCCCTGGTATCTTTCTCAGATACACAAATCAGGAAGTTAGCTACCACCTGGACTTCTAGGAAGTTATTACCTACTTTTTCAGGAGGCATTTTGGTAGCAGTTTTTTTGCTAGGCCTCTAGGGAAAAACAGGAAAAGAGGGTGGCATGACAGCACAGGAAGTAGGGTTTCTGGGTGTTATACTGATTTGGCCTTACCATACCAGTTCTGTGCCAGTCTATGACCTATTTTAGATCTTTGGAAATGACGAGTAATCAAGTTTCTTTGGTCCCTGGTCCTGGAGTTTATCTAATTTCTGCTCATTGCACTGGGATTGGTGGGACATTATTTCTTTGTTCTTGGGTTCCACAGGTCTGTAGCCTTTGCTGAATCAACACTGCTCACAGAGAAAGTGATGCCTTTTCTCCATTTGCACAACATGAGTGTGACGTGGTTAGCCAGACCAGGAGCTCAGCCTCATGTAGAGTCCAGGTGGGCACGGGGCCCTGTTATGGGGAGTTAGCCTTGAGGACAGCTGGACTGAGGAGTCAGCTAGGGAAAGATTTCTGTCCCCTCTAAAGGCAGGGATAAAGGGGCTGTCTCTCCTAAAGCAGTCACGATGCAGCCAGTAGTCTGTGGGAGCGATGTGTGCTTTGAGTCCCATGGGTGGCAACAGGGGACAGGTGCAGTGCCTGTGAGCAACTGGACCTCCTGCTGGATGAGCTGGGGTGGTGAGGATTGGCTGTCTTGCTGCAGGAGGCCGTCTGCTGGTGTTAGTCGTGGCCCACACTCTATTTGGGTGCTTATCCCAGTTGGTCAGGGTTCAACGTGAACAGAGGGATCAAATGTAGAATAAAAGGCATGGCTTGGGGACTTCCGGGGGAATGCATGGATGGCTCAGCATCTCCCTCTCAGATTCCTGTAGTTACCAGCTCTTCGATCTCTTCCACATCGTTTTTCTTTGTCTGCAGACCACTGCTCTGATGCCGAAGGGGAGGCAGAAAGTGCCACACTTGGATGCCCCCCTGGGCCTGCCCACCTGCCTCTGGCTGGAATTAGCCGGGCTCTTGTTACTGGTTCCCTGGGTCATGGGCCTGGCAGGGACAGGTGGGCCTGATGGCCATGGTCCAGGGGGGCCAAGCTGGGCTGTGCACCTGGAAAGCCTGGAAGGTGAGGGGGAGGAAGAGACTCTGGAGCAGCAGGCGGATACCTTGGCCCGGGCAGCAGGGCTGGTGAATGCTGGACGCATCGGAGAGCTTCAGGGGCACTACCTCTTTGTCCAGCCTGCTGGGCACAGGCCGGCCCTCGAGATGGAGGCCATCCGGCAGCAGGTGGAGGCTGTGTTGGCTGGGCATGAAGCTGTGCGCTGGCACTCAGAGCAAAGGCTGCTAAGGCGGGCCAAGCGCAGCGTCCACTTCAATGACCCCAAGTACCCGCAGCAGTGGCACCTGGTGAGTCCAGCCCTGCAGTTTACAGTTTCAGGTGGGTGGGTTCCGGCCATTTCTTTAGTGGGCTTTTGACTGTAGCACTCTTCAATAGCCTCCATCCTTTGCCTGAGGGACCATTTCCCATTTCTGTAGTGTTTCTCTTGGCTCTCCCTCCCCTCTACTGTCTTCTAGAGGCCAGTGTTCTGTAGTGCTCAGGGCACAGATGGTGCACCCTGACTGCCTGGGGCTCATGGTCCAGCTCTGCCACTTTCTAGTATGTGCATTTGGGCAAGCTGCTTAAGCTCTGTGCCTCAGCTTCCCCATCTATAAAATGGAGATGGTAATAGTGCCTACCTCATAGAGTTATGGTTAGGGTAAGTAAATGCGTACATGTGCAGTACTTAGAACAGTGCCCGACACATGGTAAACGCTATGACATAAGTGATATGATACTAACATTGGCATAAGAAATATCTCATCCAACCCTGAACCCTAGCCACCATTTTACCTCGAATCACCCCTGACTGATGGTGAGCCTTCCTGGACTCCGAGGCTATGGCAGAGCTCTCACCTGCCCCTCCTTGGCTCTGTTCCCACCTGACTATAGGTCTGCAAACTCTGTCTGGCTCTTCGGTGGAGGCCAAGCATGCAAAGGGGCTGCCAGCTACAACTTCACCTCCCTCTGGGCTGGACTGTGTGTCACTGGATCCCTACCCTGTCTCTCTTACAGAATAACCGACGGATCCCAGGCAGGGACATCAATGTGACGGGTGTGTGGGAGCGCAATGTGACTGGGCGAGGGGTGACGGTGGTGGTAGTGGATGACGGAGTGGAACACACCATCCAGGACATTGCACCCAACTATGTGAGTGGCCCTAGAACGACTACCCGCACCCCCACATCTTACCTCCTTCTTGATGTTGCCTCAGTCTTGTCCCCTTTTCTAGAGCTGTTTGGGCCAACCAAAGAGCCTGGGAGGTGGGATGGGGTTCATCCTCCTTTTCCCCAGCCAGCATTCCCGACTGGCAGTCAAAGCAAGGGAGAGCAGTCCTGCTTCCTGTTCTAGTCCCTTTCTGAGGAGTAAGGAATGGCCCCTGTAGGCAGCTTCCTTCTTGATGGAAATCCGAGTGCCTTCCTCTGTCTAAAGCATGGCCCCTGCTGAGCCCTACCTGCCTTTTATTCCAGGTTTCCCAAGCTGTGGAGCAGTAGGCACATTCGCATAATAGGCAAGGGAAGTTTGCTGGGAGCTGTGGCACTTCTCAGTTTTGCCCCAGAGTCCTTTGCTCATATCTTTTAGCCAGTGTGGTTTGCAGATAGAGAGGCTTATTGCCCTGTCTTCGAATCCCAAACCCCCATTTCCTTTCTCTCCCTGAACCCCAGGACCTGACCCCCCAACCAGTGAATGATCACATGTCACTCCCAAAATATTTCAGAGCCCTGAGGGTAGCTATGACCTCAACTCTAATGACCCTGACCCCATGCCTCACCCGGATGTGGAGAATGGCAACCACCATGGCACGCGATGCGCAGGAGAGATTGCGGCTGTGCCCAACAACAGCTTCTGTGCCGTGGGTGTGGCCTACGGGAGCCGCATCGCAGGTAACTTGTGCCTCCAACCTAGCGTTGGTAGGCTGCTCCTGGGACTCCAGTCTTCATTTCCTGCACCCCTCCCTACTCTTAAGCGCCTTTATCCCATAGCCCAGCTGACACACATAGCCTAGAGCAACGGTAAGCTTATAATAAGTGTCTGTAGGACAAATCAGCTTATGGATTTTTCGGTGCAGTGGTGTTTCAAATGTGTTTTTCTATTTGTATTTCCATAATTTACAAAGTGCCGTTTTGTCAGTTCTTCCTCAATGATTCGATAGGTCTATGGGGGCAACTCTTGTGTGTCCCAGCTCTCCAGCTCCCAGTCCCACTGATGGTCATGGACTGCGCTCCATCTTTTTGGGAGAGCTGAGCAGCCCTATTCCTCCCTGGAGGTGGTTCTGTGATTCCTTCACACTCAACCTCTGTCCATCAGGGGAGACGGTATAGAGAACTAATGGTGAAGCCCTCACCTTAACTCCTAATAAGTGCTTAGGAATCTACAGACTAAATAGACTAACTGTATTCCTCTTACACTCCAGCAGAGGGCAGTAGCCTTCCATAAATGAGACTACACAGGGTAGCCGGTAACCTCTCCAAGTCCCTTGTCTGAAAGTGCACTGCAGCCTGGGCAACAGAGCAAGACTCTGTCTCTGTATATATGTATATATTTTTGCTGAGGGGACAAGTAATACATATAAAAATGCAAAATGGGCCGGGCAGGGTGGCTCATACCTGTAATCCCAGCACTTTGGGTGGCCAAGGCGGGCAGATCACCTGTAGTCAGGAGTTCAGGTGACTGAGACCAGCCTGGTCAACATGATAAAACCCTGCCCCTACTAAAAGTACAAAAATTACCAGGCATGGTGGTGGGCACCCGCAATCCCAGCTACTCGGGAAGCTAAAACAGGAGAATTGCTTGAACCTGAGAGGCCAAGGTTGCAGTGAGCCAAGATCACTCTATCGCACTCCAGCCTAGGTGATAGAGTGAGACTCTGTCTCAAAAAAGAAAGCAAAATGTACAAAGAGCATGTAGAGAATAAGTCTCCCACATATGGCTCCCCACCTCCCAGTTCCCTGGCTAGGAGACCAGCGTTAGTGAGGAGCTGCTATGGCCTTCATTGCCTAGGTATCCGGGTACTGGATGGACCTCTCACAGACAGCATGGAGGCAGTGGCATTCAACAAGCACTATCAGATCAATGACATCTACAGCTGCAGGTGAGGCAGAGCTGCAGGTGAGAGGGCAAGAGGCTGGAGCATCTGGGACAAATCTGCCAGCAAAAGCCCAACCAAGTGGGCTGACTCAGACAGGCCAGAGCAGGGGTCTCTTCATTGGATTCAGCTAATGAGTCCATTGCCTTCATTTCTCCAGATCCCCAGTCACTGGGTTCTCAACCTTACGCCCCCGTCACCCCAGTAATCAGGTTCCCACATGAGAAGCTCTGTTCTGTGCACATTTATTTGTTTTTCTAAGCTCTAAGGCCTCTGCAAGAAAGTAGGCTTTCCTCTCCAACCACAGGCCAGCTGAATGCCCAACACCAATCCTCCACCCTACTTTAATGTACTGCAGCTTCAGGGCATTGCTGTGCTGGGCTGGACAAGAAGGAAATGGGATTGGGAGCCCCCATGACATTGATGGCACCTGTTCCTCCCCCAACATACCTCCCTTAAATCTATGACATCACCGGGTACACTTCCTGATAGAGACAGAATAGAGAACTCCTCAGCCTGAAAACCAAGAACTTCCACAGAAGTTCCTGGGTGCTCTGCCTTCAAGCTTATGAGTCGGGCCAGGTGCTGTGGCTCACACCTGTAATCCCAGCACTTTAGGAGGCTGAGGCCGGTGGATTGCTTGAGGTCAGAAGTTCAAGACCAGCCTGACCAACATGGTGAAACCCCATCTCTACTAAAAATACAAAAATTTGCTGGGCATGGTGGCAGGCGCATGTAATCCAAGCTACTCGGGAGGTTGAGGCAGGAGAATCACTTGAACCCGGGAGGCGGAGGTTGCAGTGAGCCTGGATCATGCCACTGCACTCCAGCCTAAGTGACAGAGTGAGACTGTCTCAAAAAAAAAAAAAAAAAAAAAGCCTACAAGTCTCTGATCCCTAGGTCAGGAGATGAGTGACCCCTGTCCCTCTCTGCCACTATGGGCTGTGGGAACATTGACAAGGAAAAAGAAGAGCCTTAGCATACTTCTGTTTTCTACTTTGGAGAGGGGATGGACCTTTGAACCCTGTGCCTTTTAATCATGGGAGCCTTTAAGTGGAACCCTTGGGAAAAGTTAAGAGCTGCAGGTCCAAGGGTAGCCAGCTAAGACTGGGAGGCCTTGGGTGGGAAGCCACAGCCTGGCTCGGCTGTTCCCTCTAGGTATTTATTTCTCAACAGCTGGGGACCAGATGATGATGGGAAGACAGTGGATGGCCCCCATCAGCTTGGAAAGGTAACTGGCCTGCACAAAGACTCTAGGAGACCGGACGCCCTCTTCATTCAGTCCTAGAGGAACTGCTGCAAGTTGACCTGTCTTCCCACTCCACCCCCATGCGCAGTCTCCTTTCAGGAAGAGTACACCTAACGTGGAGGCAGGAAGCATGGGGGACATTGGTTCCTAGAGGGGGAAATGGAACCGTGCTTTGAGATTGTTTCCCTTTCATCTTGTCCTCAGCTCCCATGCCTGGCCCTACCCTATCCAATAAGCGGAGTGCGTCCATCAGTCATCGTTCAACTCACAGCTCCCCCACATCCCGGGTCCATCTTCCAATCCTTCCCCCCTGCCCAGTGCCCTTTGAACTTTTTCCTTCTGTTTTTAGAAGGGATGGAGAGGGTGACTGATGTGGTAGGCGGAGGTCTGTCTATGGGTTCCTCAACTGATACCCTGATGTTTTGGCTCCTCAGGCTGCCTTGCAACATGGGGTGATTGCTGGTCGCCAGGGCTTTGGGAGTATCTTTGTGGTAGCCAGTGGCAATGGGGGCCAACACAACGACAACTGCAACTACGATGGCTACGCCAACTCTATCTACACAGTCACCATAGGTAGTCACTGGACGGTTCCGCGCGCGCGCATGTGTATGTGTGTGTGTGTCACCGAATGGTGAGGGCGTCGCGGGTCTTGTCCCAGCTTCTGTGTGTCTAAATGTGTGAGCACAATAATCTCTTTGGGCTCAGATAGGACTAGCCCCTGCTTGCAGAGGACCTTGAGACTTCCTTAGATATCAACATACCCTGGGAACACCTTCAGGCCGTCATCCGGGGTTCACCCAGCTGCCTCCACCCCACCACAGCTGGTTAGGCCTCTGCTCTGGCCTCTTTCTGTGGGCCAGCTGCCACCTGATGGAAGCCTCCCCTGACTCTCCACTGTCCTAAATTAAATGCCCTTTGCCTGTGTTCCCAGTTAGCACTTGCCACCCCAACTGCGTTTATTTACTTACCTGACTGTAGGCTCCTTGAGACCAGGAGTGTGGCCTTTTCCATATGGCCCTGATGCCCGCACAGTGTGTGACCCACAGTAGATAGGAAATGAATGTTGAAAAAAGTGAGCATGTGAATGAATAAGTGGGTATGAAGGTAGAAGGCTGCCAGTTGTACCCCGGAGCCTATTGAAAGAATGATATTGGGGCACAGAATGCCCTCTGCCACTTGAGAGTGCCTGTTCAGAAGACAATCTACTTGGGCCACTCAGTTTGTTTCAAACTCAGGACAGCCCCCCAGGATGATAACTGCAAGATAACTGACATTAGCAAGCCCCTGCCACAGGACCCCCTCTTCCTCTCAGCTCTCATTTCCCTCCTCTGTCCCCAGGAGCTGTGGATGAGGAGGGACACATGCCTTTCTATGCAGAAGAATGTGCCTCCATGCTGGCAGTCACCTTCAGTGGTGGGGACAAGATGCTTCGGAGCATTGTGAGTGCTTCCTGGGCCCTCCATGCCCTGCCCCTTTCCCATAAGACTCCACGTCTTGGACATCACAGCACTTCTCACCATCTCCTGCTTCCTTGTCCCAACACTCAGGCTCCTCTTCCCTCGCAGAGCTGGATCTCTTTAAGGCATGCCACCCTTGGAGGAGCAGACCCAGGGACTCTGAATGAATCTTGGGAATGCCTTTATCTTAGAAATTCGGACTTGGGACAAATATACATATTGTTATAGAAACTAAGTGTCACATGGGGCCAGACACAGTGGCTCACTCCCATAATCCCAGCACTTTGGGAGGCCAAGGCAGGTGGATCACTTGAAGTCAGGAGTTCAAGACCAGCCTAGCCAACATGGTGAAACCCCATCTCTACTAAAAATACAAAAGTTAGCCTGGTGTGGTGGCGGGCACCTGTTATCCCAGCTACTCGGGAGGCTGAGGCAGGAGAATTGTTTGAAACTGGGAGGTAGAGGTTACAGTGAGCCAAGATTGTGCCATTGTACTCCAGCCTGAGCTACAGAACAAGACTCCTAAAAAAAAAAAAAAAAGAAAGAAAGAAAGAAAGAAAGAAACTAAGTATCACATGTTTTAAACAACTTTTTCACACTCAAGGAAATGCACAGACAACTTCTTTGAAATGTCTTCCTTTGGTAAAATTTGGACTTTTGCTAATTTCTGTGGCCTTACAAAACCTCATCATTCCGTTGCCCTTCAGGCCTTAGGTAAATACTGTGGGTTCTGGTCATGTGCATCCTCAGGAGTAAAGCTAGTCTGGTGGTGGTTTTTATGGCATGGGTGGGAAGAGGAGTTAGGGAATGTGTCATGTCAACACCAGAGAGAGCTCTTTCTCTGGAGCTATAATTGGAGCCATGGCAAATGAGAGTGGAGCAGGGGCACAGAGCTTCTCTAACCTGTAGAACCCATTTAAAGAATTCAGAGGCAATTGCCTACACCCAGCTGGGCTTAGTGCCATCCCAATAGATTTAAACCAGGCCTCTAGACCATCATCCTAGAGCTCTCTGCCTGTCCCTGTTGCCCATAGCCATGTAATGTGGGCATGGGAGGCTCTAGGCAGGAGCTGGGCTGGAGCCAAGTGGTGTCAGATTTCTACAGTGGCTGAGTCGGGAGGCCTCTCTGGGGCCGTTGGGAATTAGGCTGCTTTGTCTTCCTGCTGGGTCAAATTTATTTTCCAAAACTGAAATTTTGTTATGCCAATAAATAACTTCTGGTCAACACAATGTTCCAAGGCTCTGTGCCAGTTGACCGCTACTACCCCCTTCCCCCAGACCCAGGGAGAAGAGAAAAGGGAGTGGATAAAGTAGACAGGCAAGAGAGGCTGGGCTTTGTGCACAGAGGGCACCCACTGCAGGCCAGGCTGGGTTAGGAAGAACAGGAGCATACTACATTCTACCCTCTAGCAGAACTCTAGGGAACCCAGCTCATCTTGCCCAGGCTAGGGACCTGAGAAGGTTCTGCAACTTAATTTCTCTTCTTAACTCACCTCATCTTCTCACCCTCACCACCTTCTTCCCTATGAGCTATAATTTGCCCAGAAATGAAAACAGAGTGTGTTTAGCAGAGTTCCCATCTTTGGAATGTCTTTGCCATGGAAACTTCCTGTTGCCAGTTTCTAGTCAATGACCAGAGCAGCTGGGTGGAGCTGTCTTTCTGAGAGCAGAGGCTGGGGGCATACACTTCCCACCATTTGGCTCCGTGGGGAAATGAAGCTTCTCTGGACTTTTCAATGTCTGCCTGCGGCTCCTGCCACTACAGGCAAGTTCATGGGCTTCACGGCTGCACTTCAGAGTATCACTGCGAGGCTGTTTCCTTAACAGGAAAAAAATCAATCCGCTCCCTTGCATAAACGAGGCTTCCCACTCTTCATTGAGACTACCACTTGGAGAGTGTTTTTGCCTTTTTTTCTGGGACTGCACCATGTCTGGGTGAAAATTACATCTCCTGGCAGCTGCTGTAACAGCTGGGAGGGAAGCAGTGAGTACAGTGGAGAAAGGGCAGCTCTTGGCAGAAGTCGGCAGCCTGGTATCTGACCCAGATGAGAAGTTTGGAAGAAAGAAATTTTCTGGTCTTAGCACTGACACCATGGGCCAACGATCCAAGTGCCATGGAGTGGAGCAGATTTAGGCAGGGCCCTCCTCAGCTAAACCCTCAGGCTCCAAGGTTGACGAGAGCCCCAAAAGAGCTTGATGCCAGGCAGACATTGCCTCCCCCTGCCCCATTCTCACCCCCAACCTCAGAGCCACATGGAGAGAAGGGGGTTCAGGGCACCCAGCCCAGAGCAGTGAGGCAGCTTGTCCTGTTGAGAGCTGTAGAGCTGGGCAGGCAGGCCTTATAGACACTGAGTCTGTGCAGGGCTCGGGGGTGGGCAAGGACACAGTCCTCTCTTGCTGGGAACACACTCCCTGTGTTCGCCCCGACATCATTCCAGCCCCTGTCACGGAGCTACCAAATTGGATTTCCTTGAATGGTGCCGTCACTGTTGTCCCAGCTCCAACTGGGCCCAGTAGCTCCCGTGGCCACTTCCTCTGTCTAGCTTGGTTGTGGGTATTGAAGGGTTTTGAGTTGGGGGTTGGGATAGAGAATTTAGGAATGGTAGCAAGAATATTAGGAGTAAAAATCAGGAGCGCCCTCCCCCCGCCATGGTGGCTCATGCCTGTAATCCCAGTACTTTGGGAGGCCAAGGCAGGAAGATCGCTTGAGGACAAGAGTTCAAGAACAGCCTGGGCAACATAGCAAGATGCTGTCTCTACGAAAAATAAAAATAGTGGGGTGCAGTAGTACATACCCGTAGTCCCAGCTGCATGGGAAACCAAAGCAGGAGGATCGCTGGAACCCAGGAGTTCGAGGCTGCACTGAGCTATGATCTTACCACTGCACTCTAGCCTGGGTGACAAAGGGAGACCCTGTCTCAAGAAAAAAGAAAAAAAGTTGGGAAACCCTTATCTGCACTGGATGGGAGCCTTTTCCCATCTCTAACTCCTTTTCCCAACAGCCATACCCCTCAGAAATAACTTTTATTATCCTTGTCTCTGTTCTCCAGACATTCTGCTAGGAGGCCAGGAGGGTTAGGATTTCCTTTGCCTTGCCCTGCTAGTGGGTCCCTCTCTGGTCAAAGATTCAGCTCTAACAAAGGAAGGATCCACCTGAGAGACTTGTTCTGACGACCATCCCTGTGCCTTTCCCCCGTAACAACTTTGAACTCAGTCTCTAGTTTCTTTTTTAAAAAATTATTATTTGAGGCAGAGTCTCACTCTGTCTCCAGGCTGGAGTGCAATGGCTCGATCTCGGCTCCTTGTAACCTCCCACTCTCTGGTTCAAGTGATTCTCCTGCCTCAGCCTCCCGAGTAGCTGGGATTACAGGCATGCACAACCATGCCCAGCTAATTTTTGTATTTTTAGTAGAGACGGGATTTCACCATGTTGGCCAGAATGGTCTCAATCTCCTGACCTCATGACTGCCCGCCTCAGCCTCCCAAAGTGCTGGAATTACAGGTGTGAGCTATTTTTTATTTTTTAAAGATGAGTTCTCTGTCACCTAGGCTGGAGTGCAGTGACACAGTCATAGCTCACTGTAACCTTGAGCTCCTGTCCTCAAGCAATCCTCCTCCCTGAGACTCCCAAGTAGCTGGGACTATAGGTGCACACCACTGTCCCCAGCTTGAACTCAGTTTCTAACCCACTTCCTTCTCCCATTCCGCTTCCAGGTGACAACTGACTGGGACCTTCAGAAGGGCACTGGCTGCACTGAGGGCCACACAGGGACCTCAGCTGCAGCGCCTCTGGCGGCTGGCATGATAGCCTTAATGCTGCAGGTGCGGCCCTGCCTCACGTGGCGTGATGTCCAGCACATCATTGTCTTCACAGCCACCCAGGTGAGATACCAGCAAGTGCCCTGGCCCAGCCTGCTCCAGAGTTCGGGTATCAGGTGGCTTTAGAGTCTCAGTGTCCCAAATGTTAAATACCAAGTCTCTTTCAGAGTCCCTTTCAGAGTTGCATATGTAAAGAGTAGGTGTAGGGACCCTACAAAGACCACAGACCTAAACTCATTTTATCTGCAAAGGATAGCTCTGGCTGTGCTTCCTGGCTCCCTCTCAAGAAGCAAGCCTCTGGGGTGGTGACATCATGGGCTTTGACCTTTTGTCCCAGCTTCCCTTGAGGAATCCATTCCCAGTAGCCACAGTGGGAGAGCATGGACTGGATCAGCCAGCAGGGCAAGCAGGGAAACCAGAGTTAGGTCGTTGAGACTACATTGGCAATGCAAGAGACTAACCAGGACCTCTGTCCTTTCAGTACAAGGATCACCGTGCAGAGTGGGTCACCAACGAGGCAGGCTTCAGCCATAGCCACCAGCACGGTTTTGGACTGCTCAACGCTTGGAGGCTTGTGAATGCAGCCAAGGTGAACAGCTGTTAGCAGGGCAGGGTACCCCGTGGGGAGTGACCGAGGGACGGGGCTGAATGCCTAAAATGCTGCCTGGGATATTGTAGGTGCCTAGTAAATGTTCATTCAGTTCGTTTATTTAACCACTTCAACCTTCATCACAGCTGATATCCATTTTACAAATGAGAAAGCAGGTTCAATGCTGTCACTGAAGTTTCCAAACTGCTAATAGAGTAAATGAGACCTGTGTATGTGTGGGACTCAGGATGCTCTGGTTCCCCTCCTCCACCCTGGACACAGCCATTTCTTCTGGTTCCTTAACCAGGGGCTGTAAGGAACATTCCAGGGAGCAAGCAGGAGCCTAGGGCTGAAAGAAGGTGATAAGGAGTGGAAAAATAAAGTCAGCTAAACCTTTAAGATCATATTGACAAGGGTGTGTGTGTGAGAATGTGGGTGTGATCACTCTTGTTTGTTGATTTTTCATCCCCTCCTTTCCTTTCATAGATCTGGACATCTGTCCCTTACTTAGCATCCTACATCAGTCCTGTGTTAAAAGAGAACAAGGCAATTCCGCAGTCCCCCCGTTCCCTGGAGGTCCTGTGGAATGGTAAGTAATCAGGACAAAGGGGGTTAATCTTAGTCCTGAGGTTTGGGGCGGGGTGACAAGGAAGTTAAACTCGTCCTCCCTGCCAGATTCTACCCCCTTTCGGAGCTGAGCTCCAGCCAAACCTGTGGAGTTTTCTTTGACCATTTTAGGACATGTTACTGCTTCTGAGTTGGCTGCCCTGGCTGCTTAAACAAGACCTTTCTCCTGGGTTCCTAGGAGTGAAGAGGAGCAGAGGGCAACTGAGGAGGAAGGCGGATGGGAGGCGTGGGACTGGGGCTTGAGGAGGTTAGGTGGGAGCAGGTGAGAGCTCAGAGAAGTTCTGGTACTTCCAAGCTAAGATCTTGCCAGAGAACTCTGGTCAGCCCTTTGGTGTCTGGATGAAGTAAAGGAGTTAGGCATTTCTTCTTTTGATCCTCAGGTATATCTAATAGAGTCAGATGCTGTCTGCTAAGATGGACAGAGGATTTGTAGAAGTCTCCTGGGCTTCAGTGACCCGTTCTCTTCTCCCACCTCCATGGTGCCCAGCATGAACCAGGATTGTCTGAAGAGGGTGTGTCCTCCAAGCCAGTGACTTGGTTTTATGCTGAGCACCTAGATGGACACCCTTCCCAGAGGAGAGTGCAGCTGGATCAGGATGCTTGTGCTAGAGGATGCCCTGTCTACACATTTACAGCGTTTTCCCTACCCCCAGCTCCTTGGGGGATTCTTTTTCCTTGAGTCATTTTGACATGCAGAGTTATTCACTACTTTTTGTAAATGCTTGGTGCCCAAACCAGAACTGTCTTCACTTTTTGTGTCCTCCTAGAAAGTGATCAATCCAGAGCCATGGCAGGAGAAGGAATGGCAAGAGAAGGTTGCTTAGAAGGGAGGATGGGGGGTAGCTTCCCTCGGGTGGTTTCACTGAAAAGAGTTGAGTTGTCTCTCTCCTAACCACATCCAGCATTTGCCCAAATTTCCCTCAATGTGGAATGAAACCCTGGGCCAGTCATTGCATTTCCCGTAAAAGGAATGTTATCTTGGAAAGGGCATAAAGCATTAGCCAAGTCAGAGAAGTTTAGAAACGTTTCCAGGAATGCAGTTCATTTGGAACCCCCTGGCTTTGCACTTGCACGTCTTAGAGATAGTGTGCCTTCAACTTTACCTTCCATCCAGGGCTATTTCCTGTTGCATCTGTCAAATGAGGGCATTGACTTAAAAGAAAATAGTGTTCTCCCCAGCTTCGTCATCTTCTGCTTCCTGCTGACCAGGGGACATTGCTGCAGAATGTCTACCCTAGGCATTGAGGCATCTGGCAACTGCTTGCTTGTCACTAAAAAGTAAGAGAAAGAAAGCTAAATTGTCTGGGTGGAGAAGAGTGGGAGGTGGTCTAGTGGAGAAAGCAGGATTGAGAGAGGGAGGGAAAGATTCAGGAAGGTTGGCTAATGGAGCCCTTTACCTGTTGGAAGGGCACCAAGCAAAAGTTTTACCAGAGTTTTTCCTACCCCCAGCTCCTTGGGGGATTTTTTTTTCCCCTGAGTAATTTTGACGTGTAGAGTTATTCACTACTTTTTGCAAAGTACTGCTTTGTTGGCTTTTCAGAGCCAGTGAAGTTGTCTTCTCCTCCAACATTTTCCTCTGAGCAGACAAAACAGAAGAGATAAGCTTGGGGGCTTGCTTGAAAGTTGAAGGAAATAAGTCCAGTTAAAACGAGAGTTGAGCTGGGTGCTATGGCTCATGCACATTTACAGCATGATTGGCCGGACATGGTGGCTTACACCTGTAATCCCAACACTTTGGGAAGCTGAGGCGGGAGCATTGCTTACGCTCTTGAGTCCAAGACCAGCCTGAACAACATAGTGAGACCGTATCTCTACAAAAAATAAAATTAGTCAGGTGTGGTGGTTCATGTTTCCTGGGACGCTGAAGCGGGAAGATTGCTTGAGCCCAGGATGTCAAGGCTGCAGTGAGCCATGGTTGCACTACTGCACTCCATCTGGGTGACAGAGTGAGACTTTGTCTCAATAATAATAATAGGCTGGATGACAGAGCAAGACTCTATCTCAGATGTAATAATAAGGCTAGTATGACTAAGAAGCTAAATTTTATTTTAATTCATTTTAATTTAGATAGCCATGTGTGGCTAATGGCTACCATATTGAGAAATGCTGCTAAAGAGCAAGAAAGGGCCAGGCGCAGTGACTCACGCCTATAATCTCAGCACTTTGGGAGGCCAAGGTGGGTGGGTTACCTGAGGTCAGGAGTTTGAGACCAGCCTGGCTAACATGGCGAAACCCCGTTTCTACTAAAAATACAAAAATTAGCCAGGCATGGTGGTGGGTGCCTGTAATCCCAGCTACTTGGGAGGCTGAGGCAGGGAGAATCACTTGAATCCAGGAGGTAGAGGTTGCAGTGAGCCAAGATCGCACCATGGCACTCCAGCCTGGGTGACAGAACAAGATTCTGTCTCAAAAAAAAAAAAAGAGCAAGACAGATTTTTATTTCTCCCCACTGACAGGAGGTTATGAGGGAGAGGGGATCTAAAAAAACCCAAGGGTTTTTTAGATCTGACACTGGTCTGAAATCTCTGCCTGAGGTTAGGAGGGAGAGTGGGGCTCTGGAGGAGTGTGTTACCCACAAGAGAGTCTGTGATTAGAAGGTTCCTGAACACTTACTTGCACCTCTCCTTTGTTGTTGTTTGCAGTCTTGAGGATCCTGGCTAAGCCTCTGCCTATGCAGTGAGCCCTGTTCCTTCCCCTCTCCAGGTCTTCCCTCTTTAACCCAACATTTCCCTCTCCGCTGATTCTTCCTTTCTGCCTCCAAATGCAAGTCCCTGCCACCTCCACCCAGGAAACTTTGCAAATGAATGAACTGAAGCAATTTCTCACCTTAGTCACACACTCCCTCTGCCACTGAAGACTTGCTTTCTTACTCATAATGCCCCTTTCCTTACCGATTCAGGGGCTGGTTCAGAGTTCATCATTTTTAACCTTCTTGTTGCTCTGACCCTATTAATGAGGCCTTTGTTGCAACCTCTGTCCTCCTCTAGCTTCTGTGACCTCCTTTGCTCCATAGTCCTCCTCTGCCCTCTCTGCCTGAGGTACTTGTGAACTGTGAGTGTCTTCTGAGGCTTGTTTCCTGACATTTTCCTCACCCTACATCCTCTTCCTCAACCGTGCAGCTATGTTTATGACCTTAGCTACCACCTCTCTACAAATGAGTCTTTGACCTAAATCTCTTATTCTGATCCTCTACCAGTGGAAAGGATTGAGAGTACAGCATAGCTTCCATAAGATTATGGGCAAATAGAGCCCTGACATCTTCCGGGACAGAGAGTGACTATTGAAAAACATCCCAATTTATCAAGGGCCAAATAATAAGATACTTTGTATGTGCCAAGCACTGTTCTAACTATTAGCTCATTTAATTCTGGTAGAGTGAGTTCTAGTGTAGTCATTCACACTGCCACCCAAGTCCCCACCTACACCAAGAAGTAAATGGATGTAGCATGCCACTGTGTACACTGAATGCACACAGGCACTCCTTTTGGGATTCTTTTCATTTTTGGATTCTATTCTGTTCCGTAACATGTCATTTCTCTCCTGTAAGGCCCTTCTCGGCCACATCAACACTCTTCTCCAACTATGCCTTAAATATTTTCCGTCATCTTTCTATTCCTAAACCATTGTGTGCTGTTGATATTCCACCAGTACATTACACTCAACATGTACAGAATTTTAGATCTCACTATGACCTCTCAAAAGCTGGCTTGCTTTGTAAGATTTTCCCATTTACGTCAGTGCCATCACTATTCCCTAGGACCCAAACTTGAAACTCAAGAGTTTTCCATCCCTCTATATCCCTGGCCTCTCCCCAGGGCTGATGATGGCCTGGCCTTCCCTTATCCAAGCAAGAGTTAGGAAGTTTTTCTCCAGAGCCAGGGGCCCCAGGTATAGCACAAAGTGGGAGGCAAAGACTCTACTTAGAAGATCCTTCCGCCCAAGCCAGTGGCTTACATCTCGAGGCACAGGCAGCCAGATGAGAGGAGTCCTTTCTGGAGAAATGGAACAGCTCCTCATGAAAAGATTTAGAGACACTGATATGTGGGTCTCCTCCAGTGAAACAGCCAGATCCTGGTCCACTTAACTTTAGGGAACCCTGCCAGGTGAAAGGCTTCTCCTACAGTTCAGCTTCCAACTAGCTTTTGAAGACAATAGGCATCACTTGCCATTAGGAAAAAAATCCTCTGAATGCTTCCGGAATTCTGAGGAAAATTATCTTCAATCAATAAAACTATACCCCACCTAACTAATAATCACATGGGAAGGTGGACTAAGGATATTTTCAGACACTCAGGCTCTTGTGCATGCTCCACTTGTCTGAAAACTACTAAAAGATGTACTGCTCTGCAGCGAAGGCTAAACCAAGAGAAGAAAAGGAAAGAAAGCAAGGGAAATAAGGGAGAGAAGATGGGAGGGGAGAAAGAAGAGGAAATGAAAGCCTGGGAGAAGGGTGACGAAGGGTCCCAGCCCAACAGCAATGCAGCAGATAGGGATGGGGCAGAGGCTCCAGAGAGAATCTCCAGGGGCAGATGGCCTTGAGGTAGCCCCTGACCTATTTTTTCCATTTAAAAAGTAGTATTCAGAGAAGTTGTATGGTTCTTTTGTGAAGTTTGGAAAGAATTAGTGATAGGGACATGAATTTAGGTAAACCAAAAAACAGGGCAATTATTAACTCCAGAAGGGAAAACAATGCATTGTTCAGGAAACTAAACATGATCATTATACACACTTGGCTAAATTAAATCTAATATTTATAAGGTCATTGTAAGGTAAACTAAATATTGATCTAACTAAAAATTATGATGTAGGCCAGGCACAGTGGCTCATGTCTGTAATCCCAGCACTTTGGGCGACTGAGGTGGGCCAGCCTCACTTGAGGTGAGGTCAGGAGTTCGAGACCAGCCTGGCTAACATGGTAAAACATTGTCTCCACTAAAAATACAAAAATTAGTTGGGTATGGTTGTACATGCCTGAAATCTCAGTAACTTGGGAGGCTGAGGCAGGAGAATCTCTTGAACTCAGGAGGTAGAGGTTGCAGTGAGCTGAGATCGTGCCACTGCACTCCAGCCTGGCGACAAAGCAAGGCTCTGTCTAAAAACAAAAACAAAAACTGTGATTATTTATTTTGTGGATGTGGTGGGGAAGATAACTGGGGGAAGGCATGGACGTGGGCATGATTTGTTCAGTTCTCATCTGCCATAATCAAAAGTGAATACGTAATGTCTCAAATGGATAAGCCATGAAATATCCATACACGCTTACCTTTTAGAAACACGAAAGTAGATCCCAGAAGAAAACAATTTAAAACAATAAAAAATGTTTGCTTCTGGGGAATAGATAGCAAAAGTGGTAAGGAGTGGGATAGGGAATTGTTTTTTCGTTGTAAGCACTCTAGAGCCAACTTACAAGCACCTGTAGCTGGGACCACAGGTGCTCACTACTATACCCAGCTAATTTTTTAATTTTTTGTAGAGGCGAGTTCTCCCAGGCTGAAGCAGTCCTCCTGCCTCAGCCTACCAAAGTGCTGGGATTATAGGAGTGAGCCACCATGCCTGGCCTAGAATAAATTAATGGAACAAAGGGTGCTTTAAAAAGAATTGTTCTCATTGCAACCTAATTTCTGTTTTGTTTTGTTTTTTTGTTTTTTGAGACAGAATCTCACTCTGTCCCCCAGGCTGGAGTCCGTGGCCCGATCTCGGTTCACTACAACCTACGCCTCCTGGGTTCAAGTGAGTCTTCTGCCTTAGCCTCCCAAATAGCTGGGGCTACAGGCGTGCACTACCACGTGCGGCTGATTTTTGTATTTTTAGTAGAGACAGGGTTTTCACCATATTGGCCAGGCTGGTCTCGAACTCCTGACCTCAGGATCCGCCCTCCTCGGCCTCCCAAAGTGCTGGGATTACAGGCGTGAGCCACCTAGCCTGGCAACCTAATTTCTTAATAGTCCCCAGTGACTCTTCCACTTCAGTAGTTTTTGTTTGTTTGTTTGTTTTAGTAATTGTAGATTTTACAGGAGTTTGCAAAGAAATGTACAAGAGAAGTCCTACGCACCCTTCTCCCAATCCTTCTCCCACTCTTAATGTTTCACACAATTATAGTACAAGATCAAAACCAAGAAATTGATGTTGGTACAATCCATAGAACTTATTCAGAGTTCACCAAATATACATGCTTTCAATTCAATGTGTGTGTGTGTGTGTGTGTGTGTGTGTGTGTGTGTCTGTGTGTATGTGTCTGTGTGTGTAGCTCTATGCAATTTTATCACATGTAGCCTTGCATAACCGCCACCACAACCAAGATCTGGGACCGTTCCATTATCACAAGACTCCTTTGTGTTACCTCATTCTGGGCACACCCATCCCCTTCCCTGTCCCTGGCCCCTGGCACCCATTTATCTGTTATCCATCTCTGCAAGTATGTTATTTCAACAAACATCACATAAATGGAATTGTGCACTATGCATCCTTTTTCTTTTCTTTTCTTTTTTTCCTTTAAGACAAAGTCTTGTTCTGTCGCCCAGGCTGGAGTGCAGTGGCATGAGCATGGCTCACTGCAACCTCCACCTCCCAGGCTCAAGCATCCTCCTACCTCACCCTCCCAGGATGCTGGGACCACAGCTGCACACCACCACGCCTGGCTATATGCTTCTTTTGAGATTGTTTTTTTCACTCACATAATTTCCTTAAGTTTATCCAACAGCATTTAAAAAAAAATTAATTGTGTATTGTCTTGAGTGAGATCTGTGCATTTTCACTCATCTTTGTTCATGCCTTTTCCACTGCCTAGAATGCCCTCTACCAACCCTCTCTGCCGATCTGTATTCATTTCCTTCACTGTGTCTCACTGCTGTGTTCCTAAACCCATCTGACTTATTTCTCTTCCCTTATCAATTATGTATATTTCTCATACCATATCATTTTCCACTTGCAGGTAGAAGACAGGGACCCTGCCCATCTTATCTTTGTATTCCCAGCATCTAGTACAGTGCCTGAAATGTGGGAGGTATCCAGTAAATAATTTTTTTGATGAATAAATGATTGAAGTTGCTCTACTGGGTTCTTACATTGTGTCTTGGGTATGTGTTATCTTCCCAACTAGACTCTAAGCTAGATTGTGAACTTGAAAGCAGCAACTCCATTCCATTTACTAGTATAGGAGAGGTCCCAGTTAGGGTTGCCGTAGTTGTTTGTCTGTGGCTTCAGTGAGCGTGTGTCTTTGTGTACGTGGGGATGAAGTGAGGGCGTGTTTGTGGGCTGGTTTCCCAGCTGCCCAGCCTGACTTTCCACAGTCAGCAGGACGGACCTGGAGATGTCGGGACTGAAGACCCTGGAGCATGTGGCAGTGACAGTCTCCATCACTCACCCACGGCGAGGCAGCTTGGAACTGAAGCTGTTCTGCCCCAGCGGCATGATGTCCCTCATCGGCACACCCCGCAGCATGGACTCGTACGTATACCCGCCCAAGGCCTGAGCTCTCTAGAGCTTCAGCCAGGGTCTTTCCAAGGAAAAGAAATGGGAGAAGTGGATCCTGGCCCTGTCCTAAACTACTGTGACACTGGCTATCTCCGGCAGCTGGAAGCCTTTCGTCACATGCCTTCTTCAAGTGTGAGGCCCTGCACTTCACATACACGTTCTCTAATCCTTATAAGAACCCCATAGATTAGACTTTGTAACTTCCTTTTACAAATGAGGAAACTGGCTGGGCATGGTGGCTCACACCTATAATCCCAGCACTTTAGGAGGCCAAGGCAGGAGAATCACTTGAGGCCAGGAGTTCAAGACCAGCATGAGCAACAAAGTGAGACCCTGTCTCTATTTTAAAAAAATGTAAAGCTTAGCCAGGTATGGTGGTACATGCCTGTAGTCCCAGCTACTCAGGAGACTGAAGTGGGAGGATCACTTGAGCCCAGGAAGTCAAGGCTGCAGTGAGTTGTGATCATGCCACCGCACTCCAGCTTGGGTAACAAAGCCTCTGTCTCCAAAAAAAAAAAAAAAAAAAAATTAGGAAACAAGTCATGGAGCCAGTAAGTGCCCAGGAAAATAAGAATAAATCTAGATCCGTGGAACTCCAAGCCTGTGTGCGCCATGCTTGCTTTTTCCACCACACCATGTTGACACAAGTTCCTCCTTCCATGAGACCCCAGGGGCAAGGGGCACCTGAGAACCCCTTGTGACACCCTTCCTAGTTGTTTCCATGGCTACTACAGTAAGAAAGTGCTGCTGGGGGAAGGTCAGCTCCCTGACCCACGCCTTCCACCTGTTTCTGCTGTCTTCTTTCCCCAGGGATCCTAATGGCTTCGATGACTGGACCTTCTCCACTGTGCGATGCTGGGGGGAGAGAGCCCGGGGGACCTACAGGCTTGTTGTCAGGGATGTCGGTGAGCCTCCTGCCCTTGTGCCACGCCCTGCCTTTCCTGCTTGTTATCTGGTCCCTCTGCATCTCAGAGTCCCCACAGAAAGTTTCCCGTGTGCCATATATAGTGTTGCCATTGGACCAAGAGGGTTGATGCCAAGAAGTGTGTCCCATCCATAAAATGGGCATTGCTATCTGAAACTGTTTGTTTATACGACCTCTCGTATTCCTTGGAGGAGTGACCGATCCATTTTTCCTCAGGATAGCAACAAAAATTCCTTGTTGAAACCACATTTCAAGTCCTTTCACATATAACCATCCTTCGGCCAGCCCTGATAGGCAGGTAAGGGCAGGACTCATTTTCACCGTTTTTTTTTTTAACTGGCCCAGAGATTTGAGGTGATTTATGGAAGGTCATCATATCAATGAAGGCCACAATATCCATGAATTTTGAATATCTTTAGTGTCAGCATATAGACTAGAAGTTGAACTCAACCCTCCCAACCTCCAATCAAGTTCGGTATTCACTAGACCAGTGGTTTTAAAACCTTTCTTTAATTTGGTAGAAAGACTTTTTTTTCCAAGCAGAATCCCAGCTGAACCCCCAAAATATGGGAGAGAAAAGCAAGATTCTGCTTTGGAATACAGCCTTTCAACCCTTTCCATCCCTAAGGGTACCCAGTGAGGCCCTTCTGCAGAACCCGGGGTCAGTGGGACACAGTGAGGCAGCTCCTAGAGCAGACCATGCGGCCTGAGCCCCTTTGGGTGGCAGGGAGGGCAGGGCCTCTGCTGTTTGGCATGGCTGACAGAGGGGTGTGGCTCACGAGCTGCCCCTTGCTGCCCTAGGGGATGAGTCATTCCAGGTCGGCATCCTTCGGCAGTGGCAGCTGACCCTATATGGCTCTGTGTGGAGTCCAGTAGACATCAGGGACAGACAAAGGTGGGTATAGCCGCATGTGTCAGAGGGAAGGCCACTCACGGGAAGGGCCGCCTAGGGAGCCCATCTCCCTCCGAACCCCAGCTGTGCTTCCCAGCTCCAGCCTCAAGCCGGTAGATGGAGCCATGGGCTGGGAACTCACAGTCTGGGCCTCGCCTTTTTGCTGTGGGGCTTCCCTGTCTTCAGCTGTAAGGTGGGAAGATGGATGAGGGCAAATGGTATCAGAACCACAGTCAGTGGGGCTTCCTCACTCCTTTTCTTCTCCACAGGCTGTTAGAAAGTGCCATGAGCGGAAAATACCTGCATGATGACTTTGTCCTGCCCTGCCCGCCTGGGCTGAAAATTCCTGAGGAAGATGGTTACACCATCACCCCCAACACCCTCAAGGTACTAGGGCTACAGGTAGACAGGACTGTCCTGAGTGGGGATGGAGTTTGTAGTGTGCTGCTCAGGGTGGCCTGGGGCTGAAGGACAGGGAAGACCTGGGTTCCAGCAGTGGTTTCATAGCATTGCTCCTACCCTGCTAGCCTAACTCTTACAGAATAGGCCTTGTCAGGGGAGGGGGTGAAAAGGACAGTCTCTAGAAAGAAAAAGACTTTCTGAGCTCATTGTCCTGGGCTGAGAAAGGCTGTAGGCCTCGGGAAACAGTGCCTCATGTAGGTGCTTGCCTCGGCCCCAGACCCTGGTGCTGGTAGGCTGTTTCACCGTCTTCTGGACCGTTTACTACATGCTGGAAGTATATTTGAGCCAGAGGAATGTGGCTTCCAACCAAGCTTGTAGGAGTGTACCCTGCCACTGGCCCCATCGAAGCCGGAAAGCCAAGGAGGAAGGGACAGAGCTAGAATCAGTGCCACTTTGCAGCAGCAAGGATCCAGACGAAGTAGAAACAGAGAGCAGGGGCCTTCCCACCACTTCTGACCTCCTTGCCCCAGACCTGTTGGAGCAAGGGGACTGGAGCCTGTCCCAGAACAAGAGCGCCTTGAACTGCCCCCATCAGCACCTAGACCTACTGCACGGGAAGGAGGAGCAGATCTGCTGACCTCAGGGCCTGACAGTATGGGACAGGCTCTTCTTTCCCAAAATTAGGGAGCTCCGGAGAGACCTGATGCTTACATCTGGAATCTGAGGCCTAAACAGCATCCTGTGACTCCACTCAGAGGGTGAGGGCCTTCTTAAGATACAAATGGCAGAGGATTGGTGCCAGAGAAGTCTGGTGAGAGCCACAGGGTCTTCCTGCAGCCAAACGGGAGCTTTTGGGGAGAAGGTCTTGGACAGGGGATTGGCGCCCCCTTTGGGTAGGCCTCCATCTTCATCTCTCTTGGGCAAGCCAGTTGTCTAGGTCCCCCATGCATGGGGGCCCCCCACCCACACGAGTTGAGAAGGTGCCTGCCGTAGCCAGGAGTGCATCTCCATGGAAACATGACTGGGGTCACTTGGGAAGAAGACTTTGGGGTAAAGGCTGGGAAGAGCCCCTGGACATGCCTGTCCTGAAAGTGGCCACCTCCATTATCCATTCCCAAGATGCCTGATCAGAAGCCAACCTTGAATGAACCTCTGGCTCTTCACCACCACCACCACCCCTCCCCACCCGCCGTGATTGGTCCGATGCTGCTGGCACAGCTGGGATACACACAGCTCCCCCGGGCCTGAGCTGCTTCACTAGGGAATCCCACGGCAGGACTGCAGAGCAGATGGCAGACGTGCATGTCGGAGGAGACAGCCTTGAGAGCCGCTGCCACTCCAGTCCTGCCACCACCCTGTCTTCCTCTGCAAGTGCTCAGGGAAATGGCCTTCCCGCCAGAGGCCAGCTATCTGCCTGACAGGCTGTGATTCTTCTCTCAATCTTGGCCTTCTCCCCTCTTCTGAGCTAGTTGGTTGATTTGAATTTTTTTTAATGCTTAAGATTTGTTTGTCTCTTTTCACAGCAACATTTTCCTGAATTTTTTTCTGCACAGCTTTTCCAAAATAAAAACCTTCCAAACAATTCTGCCACTCACGAGCTCTCCTTTCCTGTCTCCCCAAAGCCGCTGCAAGCTGCTGAGTGGCTCCTCTTTCCCTTCGGTCCCCAAGATTCACTCTCCTGTTCCACAGCCTGTTTCCTCTGAGAGAATCTGACCCTCCTGGAATCTTGGCACGTGAAGGGTCCTTCAGAGGACAGCAGCCAGGAGCACACATAAGCCCGAGATGCCTGCCCGTCCCCTGCTCAGATCTGGAACTAACACAAGTGACCAGGGCAAATCAAACTCTGCTAGCCAGGCCTGAGAAAAGATTGATGTATTTTTTTTTTTTTTCTTTTTGAGTTCCAACCCCAAAAATATTCCAGGAAAAGATGGGGGAGGCTGGGCTGGTTCTTCTTCAATGGGCTTTTGCTGCCAAGGACAGTGGACTTGACCCACATCCAGGCTACCCCCAGACCGTTTCTCCCCTGCTTTACTCAGGGGCGAGACAGTAGGGGTGGTGGGGGCAGCTGGGAGGGAGGGGCCAGGGCAGTGATGCTTTGGGATAGGAAGTTGAGCCGGGGGAAGGGGAAGGAGCTGCCCATGTGCAGTTACCATTGCTCAGTGACAGAGCCTCAAAGCTTGGCCAGGGCTGAAGGTACCACACGGGTGTGGGTGAGGCAGGCTAAGCGGGATGGCTGCAGCCAAGGAGCCGGGGGAGGGCAGGGCTCAGGGCTGGCCCTCTCCCCTCTAACTGATGATCTGCCGAGGTCGTCCGTAGCCTGTCATGCCGGCCTGGGAGGCCCCTCTGTTGCTGCCCATCTGAAGGCCAATGACATGCTTTCCCTCCTGCAGCTGGCTCTCTGTGAATTCTCTCTTATGCTCCTGCGCTTTCCTAGAAGAGGAGGAACCAGGATAAAGACTTGCTAGAACTGTGTGTTTTCCACCCATGTTCTGATCCCTCTGTTACGTCCTAGCCCAATCTCATTGCCTTCCTGTTTCACTTTTTTTCCCTAATCTAGCTTGCCTCCTAGGCTAGGGAGACTGAGCACAGGAGGGTGGAAAGGAAGGGGTCAAGGAGTATTAAGGACCCGTTATTCCCCGACCGCAGACCTTCATTTCATCCCTTCCCGGCTTTCTGCTTCCCCTAATCCTTCCCGAAAACCCATTAGCACAAGCCACCTCCCACCCCATGCAGAGGGAGACCCAAGCTCTCTAAGGGCCACATACTTCATAAACCAATTGGGATCTCCACGGTAGTGCCCATCATTCTTGGTCACTGCCAAGCTGCCCAAAGCCATCAGGGTCCTCTGCACTGCTGCCATGTCTTTGCCTGTGAGAAGAAAGGGGAGAGGAGACGAACATCAGGAATGTGTAAACAAGGTTCCAAGCCAGGGCCAGCCTCCGTCTCTCACAGAAAAATGGCCAAACCAGAGGCAAGAGTTGTCCCCAAATCAAGGGAGGCCTCTCAGTGGGCCCTGTGAGCGTTGCATGTTATTCTCAGCATATCCCATCCCTGCTGTGCACCGGCGGGCACACCCCTAATTGTGGCATATTCTGGTCGTTCCCTCTCCCTGCCCAGCACCCTGTCCTCCTGCCCTCCTCCTCCCCAAGTCCCTTCCTCCTCTCTACCTTCAAAGAGGTCAACAGTCTGGAACATGTCAGTCTTGGTGACCCCATAGTCCTCAGCTGCCTTCAGGAACTGGGCCACCTGCTCCATCTGCTTGAAGACCATGGAGGGTGGGTTCTCAGGCACCTTCACTGGCTTGGAGCCATCAGGGTACAGGCTATTCACCAGCTTGCTCAGAATCTGCCAGGCATAGGGTATAGGATGCAGCTTCGCGCTCAGCCCAGGGCTTGGCCCGGGACTCACAGGGTGGTACACCCCAGCCCCTCATCCCAGGGTGCCACTCACCACGCCATTCTTCAGCCAGACCTGGAAGCCCAGGCGCCCACGGTCTGGGCGGCCCACATCTGGACCACACTGCACTATAATCCACTCCACCAGCCGCTCCTCCAGCTCCTCGTCGTATTTCTTCTCAATTTTGGACTGCACTTCGCGGCTCATGCCATAGGAAGGACCCTTGTTGGCCATGTCTGGGGAGAGCTAAAGCAGGCCAGGGTGAATGAGGGAGGGGCAGAGGGGCAGAGGATCAGGGAGCAGCTCTGCTTTCACCCCTGCCAGGCAGCCTTCTAGCTCTGTGCAGGGTACCCAGCCATCCTAGACACTTGCCACAGCACTGCCCATCCAGGCCAAGCTCAGCCCCTAGTCCAGACACCTCTCTGAACTGGAACACCAGGAAACAGGATACCAGATCTTTGGAGGTCTAGAGCAGGGGTCAGTAAACTATTTTTGTAAAGGACAAGACAGAACATATTGTAGGCTTTGTAGGCCATATGGTCTCTGCTGTTGCAGTGTGAAAGCAGCCATAGACAATATGTAACAAATGAACATGGCTCTGTTCCAATAAAACTTTATTTACAAAAGCAGACAGCAGGCTAGATTTGGCCCATGAGCTGTAGTTTGGCAACCCTTGGTCTAGAACATTCTTTGCCAAGACCAGTCACAGAGCCACTGGAGAGATCTTCCAGAAGCCACATTGCCCCCATAGCCAGCCAGTGCGTTTGTCCAGCTTTGGGTGTGGGGGTTTACTGCCTCTGCCTCATGGAACCATTACTTCCCACTCTCACCCGGAAGCTGGCCCTGGCCTGGAAGTTGGAACTTCAGAACTCCAGCTCTTTGCCAGGTCAGCTCAGCTTCCAGTCTGCAGCTGAAGATAATAAAACCTGCCACTCCAGGCAAGGGCTAGGAAGCCACCAAAGCCCAAAAGCTCTTGGCAAAGAAGCTGCATATCCTCAGAGGAACCAGATGAGACACCTGGTCTACCCATCGACTTCCTCCTCATGCCCTTAGGCTCTCGCAACTGGAGGAGTCTGAGCAACCAAGAAGTCAGAGCTCCCCAGGGATGTTCCAGAGCCAAGAGTCTGCCTGCCAGGGAATGAGAAGCCCAGCCCCATCCAGTAACTACCACCCCGAGGGCCTGGGCCTGGCACTGCTCAGGAGTCCCACTCATGGAGAGGGGTGGCAGCAGGAGCAGGCCAGGCATGTAGGTCCCTGGGCTGATGGGGGTGGCTGGGAACAGGAACCTGACGTGACCACTGATGTCACCCTAGGGTGCTGTGCCTTCTCTCCAGTGTTTGTCTGAAGAGACTTCCAAAAGAAGTACCAAAGGAAGCTGAACCATCCCTTGGCCTCAGAGAGGTCAGAGGTCAGGAGATGCGCACTGGTCTGAGGACGGAGGCAGGGGCATGCACCCCTGGCTCCCTCTCTGGTGAGACCCCACCCCACCGGCATCCCACTCTGTGGGAAGCAGAGCGAACACCATCACATCCCACAGGTCCCAGGCCAGGTGCTCAGCCTGATGCCCTGCCCTTCCTTTCCCAGGGCCGACAGCCTTTCTGTGCTCGAGTCCCTGTCTGGGAAGTGGGGGTTATGTTATCAATCTCAGAGGGCTGTGAACATGGGACGGTGTCTGTGAACGCCCCTATATACTGCCCAGCCCTTAGCAGAGCTCCTTGAAATGTCAGTTCTTTGCTGCCCAGAGCCAGGCTCCTGGTAATGACCAGGGAGAGAGCCTGCCCTTAACCAAGGAGTGAAAAACGGACCTCGAAATGTCAGTTCTCTGTTGCCTGCTCCAGCCTCCACCCCTTCTCACAATCATTCCCTGAGCGCACAACAATGTTCACATGGACTCATTGAAATCCCCACCTTTGGGCATTCTCTCCTCCCTGCGTCTGTTTCCTTACGTGCAAAGTGGGGATGGGACCACCTCTGAGAACCCAGTTCTCTGAGCACTGGGGATGAGGTGGGCTCCTGGCCCAGCCATCCCTCTCCCTGCCAGTGATGCCAGAGACCCCAAAGGCAGAGTGCTCTGTTCTGCTGTTCAGCTACAAACAGCCAATCCCTCCCTTCACCCTGTGTGTCCCACCCCTGCTCCCCAACCGCCCAAGGACTCCTGCACAAAGAACTGTGGTCCAAACCCCCAGGTCAGTTGGGACCAGGTGATTTTGGTAGCCCTGCATCCTGGCTTCCATCCTCCCCAGCCTCTGTCTCAGCCTTCGCACCACCATCCCAGACAGGCACCCACCTTCTGTCTCAGGCCCTGCCTCTACTGCCACTCCACCTGCCCTCATGCCTGCCTTCCCCGCCTGCACCCTTGCTGGGCTCTTGAGGAACAGGATGGAAGGAGAATGTGTCCCCTACCCCCAGCTTCCAGTCTCGGAGGGTCAGAACAGACAGAACAGGTCAAAGCGTTAAGGCTGAGGGTGACAGGTACAGAATGCTGTAGCCCCCGGATCTAGAAACAAGACTTGGATTTCAGTCAGAGGAAGGATGAAGTACACACCACCCCCACTCCCGCCCAGTACTACCATCCTTCCCCTTCTTCCTCCTGGGTCAGAGTCTAAAAGTGGAGAATCCCCAGAAATCCCTTAGAGTCCTCTGATGAAGCCTCCCCAGTCCCGCCTTCGAGCTACTAGAGAGGGAGAGAGGAGGATGACTCTGGGGCCGCCCACCCAGGGGCGTCTCAAGACACTCCCAAGACAGCATGGATGGGCTTGGATCCTCCAGTCCTGTGGCGTCTGCCAGGGCCCCTCCCCAGCTGCCCAGTGGGTGAAGGTGGGCAGTGGAGAAAGAACAAAGTCCAGGGGCAAACAGGCAGGTGGTACCCCCTACCAGCAGAAGCCTAGAAACACGAGTGGAACCAGGGGTCCCTGCAGGGCTGATGTACCCCTTCTCACTTCCCAAATAGGAGTGAACACATCTGAACCTCTGAGAGGAAAGGAGGGTGGCTCCTCTCTACTCCATGAACAAACAGGAGTGGCCTGACTACATAAACGCGTGCCATCCTCACTGCTACCTTTGGAATAGTAAACTCGAAGGGGAACCACCCTTTGGGAAAAACCAAAGGTCCCAGGCCTGCCCCGCCCATCACTCCAAAGCTAGTCCTTGGCAGTACCGCCCCCACCTATCTGCTACCGTGGAGAGGACTCCCATTCTCAGACAGTGGAAGGGGCTGTGTGTCGGCAGGACAGGCCGCCCCAAACTGTGGGATACAAGAGTTCTGTGGCCCTTCACGTTGTCGCAGGGCTATCCCTGCTGTTCAGGCCTTAGGGACCCTCCAGTGTGACACTGCGCTCCAACACAGGTGCATTCGCACACTCCTCACCTCTTTGGAGGTCCTCCTAGAGGGGCGACAGACAGCAGAGCCCTTGCCTAACGGCGCGGCGCCTGCAGCCTTGCGCACACCCTGTGGATGCAGCTGGCTGAGATGGGGAGCCTCCCTCTGACCCCGGTGGTTGCCACCATCAACTCCTCTGCACCAGCCAAGTCATCCTGGGCATTTCAATGAGCCCGGGGCTGCCCGGTCTGAGAGAGATCCGGGACGCTAGCGATCCAGCCCACCCCGCCTGGAGCTTGGGCCTCCATGCCGACAGAGCGGGTGAGTTTCCCCAGCCAGGGAGCTGGCGCCTGCGACCTCAGGAGAGCCTGCCTGAAATGCACCCACTGCGCCTGTCCAGCTCCAGCCCGACTTCCCTCCAAGCCCCAGCAAATGCACTCACAGGGCTTCCTCGGGGCTCGCAGGAAGGAATGAAGACCTGTGCCTGGGCTTGGACAGACAGGACGGGGCGCTGGCTGGGTGAGGGGTTTAAAGGGCTGCCGCCGTGGTGATGTCAGCCTCCGCCGCTGGCTCGCCCCTTGGCCCCCTCCCTGCTAGAGGAAGCCAGCTCCGCTCCCCACCCCCGGCTCCCCCAGTGACTCCACACAGGCTCCATATTTGGGGAAAGACACCAAGTTGGAGCAGTCTGCCGGGGCTGCCGAGACATTCTCTGCGTGCTTTAGAGATGGAGCGGGCCGGGGGCGGGGCGCGCTGCCGGCGGGGAGCCGGCCCGGGAAAAGCCTTTTATGGACAGGACCCTGCCCGGACTTAGGGCTGCTCCTACTTCACTGTTTCCTGCCCCCGAGTTTGAGAGGAGGGGGAGTTCAACAGAGTCTGCCTGGAGAACGGGGCAAGGGGCTAGGGAGCCTGGGATCCCAGGGGTGTGTGAGGACAAACCAGGCACCCTCTCCTGGGGCTTTTAGCTGTGATGGGACATGGGATCCAACCTTTCCTGAGGACCTACTCCACACCAGCCCTTTGCAGTGTTCTCATTGAATACTCGCAACTACACTGTGAGGGTGTAATTACATCCCCATTTTACAGATGAGGAAACAGGCTCCGAGTGTGTCTTCCCCAAGGCCACATGGTGAATGGTGAGTGGCAGGTCCTGTGTACCTCTGCTGACCCCCGTGGGTGCTGGAGAGGTGGTCAGACCCACCCTTTCAATTGTACCAGCCTGCTCAGGTTGAGGAGAGCTTTGAGTTCAGATAGGTCTTGAGTTACATGCTTTAGCTGGGGGCTGGGATTTGAAGGTTCCGCAGAAGTGGAGGCCAAACCCAGCCCCCATCTAGTGGGCAGTGTCAATAAGAGGGTCTCTCAGGCCTGGCAGAGCCTGAGACGCTAACACGGGGTAGGAGATTCAGGAGGCTGGTTATCATCCCTTCCTCCCTTTAGGAACAGTCCTTACCACCCTGGAAAACAGACCAGCCTCTGTCACCCTATGGAGACAGCCCATTCACATCGTGCTTGTACCTGGCCTCAGGGATCTTGGGGAGAGATGGGGGTTTAAAAAGGTGAGACTAGCCAGGCGTGGTGGGGGAATGCCTGTAATCCCAGCTACTCAGGAGGCTGAGGCAGGAGAATCGCTTGAACCTGGGAAGTGGAGGTTGCAGTGAGCCGAGATCACGCCACTTCTCTCCAGCCTGGGCGACAAAGCAAGACTCATCTCCAAAAAAAAAAAATGATGAGACTAACAGTGGGGTCCCTGGGCGGCCTGCTGTGGCACTCCCATGCAAGGACACCTGGTAGCCTGGTAAAGAGGACCTAACACTCTCTGCTACACACACACTACCACACCCCGCACCACCCCAAGCCAAGCAAGGCTGTAGGAGGCAGCTGCCAGGCCTGGCAGAGGAGGAGCCTGTCTCCGCAGTTCTGCCCACTTCGGCCGGCAGCTCCAAAGCCCCAGGGAGGCACAGCCATAGCACCTCCCAGTGGTGCCTTCGGGGAAGAGTAGGAAGAGGAGCTGGGCCCAGCGACAAGAAAGCCTACTCCTCCATCCCTGACCCTGCAGACCTCTGGTTGTGTCCTGAATTTACCCGATTCCTTGGCCCCCACATCATGTCCCCCTTAGCCAACTGAAGTCTAAATGAATCTTTCAGGGAATTTCAAAATTCCCTCTTCTTGGAGCCTGCCCACCTTCCCTCACCCTCCTGCCTCGGCCCGCATGCTCAGCCAATTATAAACCCCCCAACAGGGAGCACTGCCTGGGACTGTGGCCTGGTGAGCTGGGGGGCACTCAGGTCAGAGGTGAATCGAGCCTCGGTCTGGTGGGTGGGGGGGGGGCACGTGGGCAGAGACTGCTGTTGCTGGGCAGGTAAGGAGCGATGTCTGCAGTGGGATGGCATGGGCAAGACTTTTCCAGTAACCGGCCTCTGCCCAGCTCAGTGTCCCTGGTAAATGTTTACTGAATGAATGCTGTGGCTGGAGGGATGGGAAAAATGGGAGAATCAATGATCTGCAATTCCCAGTGGGGCCCGGGCTTGAAGAAAGGGGAAATGGAGGGCCCCGCCTCTCCCCTCATCCTCAACAGCTCTACCCAGAGAGGGAGTGCAAACAAGGGACCCAAGAACTGAGTATGGTTGTTTATTGAATGCAAACTCATTCATAGAAAACAGAAATACAACCACAGCATGGAGACATAAAACAGTTCTGAGAAAAGACCCAGGCCCGCCTCCTCACCCAGCCCGAGCAGAGCTATAGAAACAAGTTTGGGAGAGTACAACATGTTCCCATCTCCAAGGCGGAGGCCCCACCTGAGCTCCCCCCATCCTTGGCATCTGGAATGGACCAGGTGGGACAGAGGGCATCCAAGGACCAGGGTGGCCAAGGTGCCCAGAGCTGGGGCGACTCAGTGTAAACTCCAAGGTTTCATAGGTATGTGTGTGCATGACTAATACAGAGCTTGGCTGAAGACTGGCCAGAAACTCAGAAGTCAGCCCTGGGTCCTACAGCAAGGCTAGGACTGGGCACGCAGAGGAAAACAGCACATCCCTTCCCGAAGCCCCTTTCTAAGGTAGGCACTGAGGCGCCCACGGCTGTGGAGGAGGCAGGATGGGGTGAACTCTGTTTCATCCCTCCTTTGCCCCTGGACATTCTTGGGCAGTGTCAATGGCACTGAAAGGCCCCCAGCTGGGGCTTGGCAGGACTAAGGGCCTGGAAAGAAAGGGAAGGGGTGAGTTGCTTCTCCCTCCAGCCCTGGTGCTGGCATCCGTCTGGGGCTGACGGGACAAAGAGGTGACCTCTGAATTCAGCCTCTTGGATCAGAAGGCGGTTCTCAAATTGGGCCGACCGCATTACGAAAGAGCCAGCCTGAGCACAGGTCAGAGAAAAGAGGGTACTCACTGCCCCGGGCCCCTTGCAGGCCTTAGCACCAAAAGTCTGGCACCAGCTGGCCAACACCCAAAATCTCATACCCCATCCATCCTGGCTGACAGGAATGGGCAGTGATGGCAGCCAGGGACAGCCCCTAAGAGAACTGGGGCCCTGATACAGGACAGAGATTCAGGCCCAGACCAGGCCCTGCAACAGGAGTCTGGGAGGAAAAAGGGGCCTTAGGTCCCAAGCTGGAGCGTTGTGGGGAGCAGGACGGGCAAAATGCAAGGCATGAAGTGGGCGGGGTGTCCCTTCCATCCTTCCTCTTGCAGAGGGACAAATGGAGAGCCAAAAGACGGGGGCCCGTGGAAGGCCCCAACACTGAGAAGAAAGCAGCAATTTGGCCAATGTCTCAGGTTCCAGGGGAGCAGGCCTCCTCCTTGGCAGAAGGCAGCTGCAAGGCTCCATGCCAACCCCACGACGGTCGCAGGCCAAGCCTAGGCAAGACCTGGCTATCCTGCTGCCATCCAGTGCTGGGCAGCAGTGCTGGGACTCATTCTCACAGCACAATGGAGTGCCCGGTCTGTGCCACACAGGAGCTCAGGGCCCCTTGAGGTGAAGCGAAGGGCCCGGCTCCTGCTAGAAGACGTAGATCTTGTCCCGCCGCACGGTGTCCAGGTCATCATCCAGCGTCAGCAACACCTGAGGGGGTGAGCGCCAGATCAGCCACAGAGAAGGAGGCAGCTGCCACCTCCACACCACCCACCCGGCTCGGCCGGGAGACCCACGTACCAGGAAGGACCCAAACATGGCAATGGAGGAGAGGAAGTGCCAGATGTCGTGGTCGTCGAAGAAGTCGAGGAGGATGCAGTCCCGGTTGTGCTCCCTCGACTCCGCAGGGGTTTTCTTGGGGAGCAACAAGAAAAAACTGCCAAATGACCCTGCTCTGGCAGGGCCAGGCCAGACCCATCTGCCATCTTGCTCCTAGGGTACCCTCTCTCCAGCCCCAGGCAGGACAGCAGCAATTCTGACCTGTCCCTCCTCCTTGTCCCCACCCCCTCCTGATCTAAGAAATGGCCTTGGGCCATCGGGTGCTGTGGCTCAGGCCTGTGATCCCAGCTCTTAGGGAGGCAGAGGCAGGATAGCTTGAGCCCAGGAGTTGAGACCTGCCTGGGCAATGGAGCAAGACGCCGTTCTCCACAAAAAGGAAAAAAACAAAAAGACAAAAAAAAAATAAGCGCAACTCCCCTCAAATAAATGGCCTTTGGTTACAAACTTCTCCCTAAGTTAGCTGGCTTCTCTTCCCTTTTCCTTCACTCTTACCCTCCTTCTTTCTGATTCTCTTCCCTTGACCTAAAAGCACAGGGTTGCGACAGCCTTGAAGGCCATCTCACTCCCTTCCCGGCCGTGGACTCCGCCCCTGCTCTAGTCTCTTTGCAAGCTCACTGTTTTCCCAAAGCACTACTGTCAGGTCACAACCCTGCTCCGGGACAGCAGCCATAACTTGTAGCACTCAAGGTCCTCCCTGCTCTACCCATAAGCTCTAACCCATAAACTCATCCAGGCTCCGTCTGTCTGTGCTACATGCTGAGGCCACGCACATAACGAAGACCTGCCCTGCCCTCAGGGAGCTCACAGTCAGCTCGGCTCCCAAATGAGTGTATTCACTGACCTCCAAATCTGCCCCTGTATCATTACTAAGGTGAGAGCAAGTCTGGGCCCTGGGGCTCTTCCCCATCACCCAAGGCTTTTATAGCCCAGGAAGCTTTCCTGGACTCCTAACTCAGAGAGACCCTCAGTCCTCTCCTCCTGCCTCGGCTTGCCTGTGCCCCGTGCCCTTCCTTTTATGCATCACATTGTAAACAGCACTAACAGTCCTTCTGGCCTCTTCAGCTAGCTTGTCTCTCAGAGACCCTGTCAGACTTAGTTTCCCAGAATTAACGCCTGACATGTGATAGGTGCCCTATGAGGCAGAGAAGAGAGCCTAGCCTCTCGGGCTTTAAGCGCCAACTGCGACACTCCCTGGCTATGTGCCCTGGGAAAGTCACTTGGCCTCTCTGAGCCTCAGCTGGCTTATAAGTAACATGGAGCTGTCTCCAGGCTGGAATGCTAGGAGGATTAACTGGGAAAGCAGCTATGAAAGTGCTGGCCTAGCTGGGCGCGGTGGCTCAAGCCTGTAATCCCAGCACTTTGGGAGGCCGAGGTGGGTGGATCACGAGGTCAAGAGATCGAGACCATCCTGGTCAACATGGTGAAACCCCATCTCTACTAAAATTACAAAAAATTAGCTGGGCATGGTGGCGTGTGCCTGTAATCCCAGCTACTCAGGAGGCTGAGGCAGGAGAATTGCCTGAACCCAGGAGGCAGAGGTTGCGGTGAGCCGAGATCGCGCCATTGCACTCCAGCCTGGGTAAGAAGAGCGAAACTCCATCTCAAAAAAAAAAAAAAAAAAAAAAAAAAAAAAAAAAAGAAAGTGCTGGCCTATGGTAGCTGTTCCCAAATGATGTTCGTTTAAAATTTTTTTTTTAGACAGGGTCTGTTGTCCAGGCTATAATATAGTGGTGAGATCTCAGCTCACTGCAGCCTGGAACTTCTGCACAGGTTACCTTCCTGCCTCAGCTTCCAGGGAAGCTAGGACTACTGGTGCATGCCACAACGCCGGGCTAATTTTTGTATTTTATTTATTTATTTTTTTTGTAGAGAAGGGCTCTTGCTATATTGCCCAGGCTAGTCTTGAATGCCTCAAGCGATCCTCCTGCCTCAGGTTCCCAAAGTGCTGGGATTACAGGTATTAACCACCACGCCCAGCCCCATTTTAAAACAATGTTTAAAAAGAGGACTGGCCACTTGTCGGTTCACGAGGAGCCCGTGAGGGAGTACTCACCTGCCAGGTGCTGAGTCCCTGGAAGAAGAAGAAGAGTGCGAAGCCCCAGACCACGGAGGTGCAGACAATGCAGAGCAGAGGGATGAGCTTGATCCTCTCCCCGCTCCGGAGCTGGGAGCGGCCAGGCAGGGCAGCAGTGTGAGGGCTCACCCCACTCACCCAGCCGTCCCACCTGGCCTTTCCCAGATTTCCTTTCCTTGTGGCCTCCCAGGCCTTCGGGACTGCTCCTTGGATTCATACCACTCCACACTACCACAGAGCTTAAGCTGCCTCCGCCCCACTGCGCCTCCATGCATCCAAAACCCTGTGTTGGGATGGTGCACTAGCCCGGAGGCACTGATGGGGCTCCAATCAGAGTGTATGGCAGGATGGTTCTTGGGGAAGCACCTGATCCTGAGAGGCTCACACCCTACCTCTCCTGAGCCCCTTCTGCACAGATATCCATCCACGGCAATGGATAGGGGCCCTTACAACTGCAGCCTGAAATACCACCCATTTCAAGGGCCCCTGGAAGGGGCTCAAGTAAATGGCCTTTGGGCTGGAGTTGGCTCCCAGGGACCCATGCAAGAGGCTTTAGCCTCTCCCCTCTGCAACCAGCAAAGACAGGACAGAAAACTTCTCACTGACCCTCTCTGCTGCCAGGCCCACCTCCCTCCCCAGAAAGCAGAGCAGCTGACAGAGGGGGTCCAGCTAGCCCCTCCCACCTTCATGATGATGTAGAAGGCGAAGTAAAGGAGCAGGTTGCAGATGCCAATGGCCAACAAGTACGAGGCGAAATCATTGGGGCGCATGATGAGCCCGTAGGCAGCCCTGGCAAGAGGGAATAAGGGCGGTGAAGCAGGAAGGCCAAGGGCAAGGAAATGCTCTTCCTGCCCTGCCCTGCCATATTTTATTAAGATATTGGGCTGCATTCAGAGGCTCACAGAAGATTCTAGACACCCAGATGCCAAGAGAGAGAAGAGAGGCCAAGACCTGTCTTCTTAAACCCCATGTCTTATGCCCAACATTTGGAAGTTGTCCTCAGCCCCTGAGGCAGCCAGAGGCTGGCCAAGTCCCCAGCTCTTCACCCAGCCAGGCCACCACCTCCAACCGGACTCACAGTGACCAGTTGATGACGTTGCCCATGACCAGCAGCACCATGCGGTCCTGGAGAGAAGCAGGGACACAGGGGCTAAGGGCAGGGGCAGGGAGGGAGGTGGAAGAAGGCCCAGCCAGCTGGTTCCCACCCCCACCAGCCCTGCCACAGCCCCCCATCCTCAGCCCAGCTCCTCTCCCCCATCAGAGGGAAGAAAGGTGTGGAGAATGGGGCAGGGGAGCCAGGCAGGTACCACATAGAGTGGCCCACTGCACTGCCGGATGCAGTCTGTGTAGAGCACGTGGAGGATGCGACGGAAGATCCCCGAGTCTGCAAAGAGAAGGGAGTGGCACTGACAAGGCCCAGGTCTGATCTAATTCCCCACCCAGTGACTCCTCCAGGGCCCCCAAGAAGACAGAAGCTGAGCATCTCCATGTGTCCAAGTTCCCGAGGCGCCCCAGGCCCCTCCCCCAGGCCCTGCCTGGAGCGTGCCCTCACCCAGTTTCCAGCGGCCCATGTAATAGAGCTGCGTGCTGAGGAGCAGCGTGGCAATGATGTGGATGATGGAGAATATGATCCAGAACGCCGTGTTCCCTTTGCCAAAGACCTGTTGGGAGGCCACCCAGGGCAGCAATGAGGGCGCAGAGGGAAGTAGCTCGTACAGCACACCCTTCTTGGGGCTCGCTGCTCAGCCAGGCTGGGATTCTGAGAGGGGGCCCAGGAAGGCATCTCAGGGCAGGAGCAAGAATCTCTCCTGCAGGAGGCGGCGGAGGGTATCCACCATGCATGTGAACACGCGTGCACCCTTCCTATCATACAGGCTGAGCAGAGCAGGTCAGACCCTCACCACGCCCAACACAGAGAAGAAGATGACGATGGCCAGACAGGCGTAGGCACTGTAGGCACTGGCGTTGATGTCCGGGTGCCGCTTCTGGTAGAGCTTCAGCATGCAGAGTCCAGCGATCATGTACATGAATGATGTGTCTAGGGTGAGGAGCACGGAAGTGAGCTGCAGAAATGGCCACCAAGCCCCAGCAGAGAACTCCTGGCCCCAACAATCGCAGAGGAAGGGAAGGCCCTGGTGCCTTGCCATGGCCACGGAGCGAGTGGGTGGCAGGGTGGCATTTGAATTCCAGTTCTGTAGTTGTCCCTGCCACACCACACTGCCACCCCACTGACCATCACCCAGAGTCTGACATCTCTTGAAGACAGGGACAACTTGGTCTGAGTGTCTTAGTCTGTGAGTACCCTGAGGTCAGGGATCCCTTTTTTTTTTTTTTTTTTTTTTTTTTGAGATGGAGTCTCACTCTGTCACCTAGGCTGGAGTGCAGAGGCGTGATCTCGGCTCACTGCAACCTCTGCCTCCTGGGCTCAACCAGTTCTCTTGCCTCAGCTTCCCGAGTAGCTGGGATTACAGACGTGCACTACCACACCAAGCTAATTTTTGCATTTTTAGTGCAGATGGGGTTTCACCATGTTGGCCAGGCTGGTCTTAAAACTACTGACCTCAGGTGATCCCCCCGCCTCAGCCTCCCAAAGTGCTGGGATTACAGGCATGAGCCCCGTGCCTGGCACAGGGACCCTTTCTTAATTATCCTGTTTTCTTCAGTGCTGCACACGCCTTTACACAGGAAGGGCTTGACAGACGAATGAAGTAGCATCTAGGTGCCCACTTCCCATAGACTAGAATGTGTGCACACTCAGGCACACCAGCCTTGGAGTTTCCTACAGGGCTAACTTGAGGATCTCTGTGGGTGACTTGGGGATGGTGAAGGACTCAGGCAGGTCTCTGCTGCAGGTTGAGCCAGAAAAGGAGGCCCCACTCACCAAACTGGAAATTGGTATAGTTGGGGCACACGTGATAGCAAGCACTGAGCAGCCCCTCCATCATCAGGGCTGTGCCCATGGCGTAGAACAGCCCAAAGTGTTTGGGGATCCCACATTCCTGTTGGGGAGAGAGAGAAGGGAAGGGAGGGAGGAATTGAGGTAGGAAGGGAAGAAGGGACCCAAAAGAGGGACCCTGAGAGGAGTGGAAGAGGAAAAGGGGTGGGGTGTGTGTCCAATGTGTGTGTGCAGGGGTGGGCTGGCCTAGGCAGGCTAGGCAAGGAAGGGCCAGCCAGGGTGGGGTGGGCTGGGCTGGATAGGGTGGGCCAGACAGGGCTGGGGAGGGGAGGGCTGCGGAGGGCAGGGCCAAGCCTGCCAGAAAGGGCCTCCTAGAGCCAAGGCCTGGGGCCTGCACCGGGGCGGAGCTGAGGTCACAGGCAGGCAGGTGCTCCCTCACCAGGGCGTAGAGGTCGTTGCGCAGCAAGGCCCGGTTGTGGTTGATCTCCCGCTGCAGGATGATGAGCAGGAAGAGCAGCCCCAGCAGGATGTACCCCAGGTTGCTGAGGATGTTGTTGAAGGCGCTAGAAGGGGCAGCACAAGGCGGACTGCTTGGACCTCACACCCAGGCCTCTTCCCCAGCCCAGGCAAGCATTGCAAAGCCCAGCTCCTGCCCCGGTTCACCCTTGGCCTGGAAAGGGACCTCCCCACATGACCCCCACCTGAGGTTGCCCAGTGGGTGGGCGCAGAGGAAGTTGTAGTAGCAGATGTCCTGATTCCCTGTAACATTCACCACCTGTAGCAGGAGCCGAGGCAGGGAGCAGGCTTGTTGTCACACCCCTCAGCCGATGCCCCGACACCCGGGCCCCTTTGGCTAAAAAGAGCAAGCGCCACCATAGCTAGCAGGTGTGAACACACAGCACTCCAGGCATGTGCTCCTTCTGAGAACACAGATGCCAAGCAGCACAGTCACCACCCCCCCTCATTAGGTGTGGCTGAAAACCCTGAGGCATGACCGTGATGGAAGTTCTCACCCCATGGGACAGAGAAAAGGGAAGGGAAACTGACACTTACAAAGTACCAGGGCTTTTGTTTTCTAATCCCCACAACAACCCAGGGAGGGACTATCTTTAGTTCGGGCCACTCCCATTTTGCAGATGAAGAAACTGACACTGGGGTGGGGACAGCTAACTGATTTGCCACGAGTCACTTAGCTGGGAAGGCAGAGCTGGGATCTGAACCCAGGTCCTGTGACCTAAGACCAGAGCCCCAGGCTGGGAGGCTCTGCACTTTGGGGCAGTGTCCCAGGCTGTGGCAAAGGTGAGCCTGCCCTGCCCTCTCACCGTCTGGTAGGTGATCACCAGCTGAACCACGGGAAGGGCATAGAAGACGGCAATGGTGGCGATGTTCCTGCGGAGCAGGAGGGCGGCAGTGAGGCGGGTAGCACCCAGGCTGCCACGCACCCACAAAGAGCAGAGCCCCAGCCGCTCGGCCCGCTCACCAGAAGTAGATCTGGTACTTTTTCCGCAGAACACGCTTGTCCTTCCGTGCCAGGTCAGCCACATAGAGGTATTGCTGGGGAGAAGCTGCAATCAGTCCCACTTACTGCTGCTCAGGAGAAGTCCCCTCCCCCAGATTAGAGGTGGACAAGAGGGGCCTCCCTCAGACAGGGCTGAATTTAGGTGGGCAGGGTTCAAGGCCATCCCACTGCTGCAGCCGCTTAGACCAGAAGGGTTTGGACAATCAGGCCGGAAGGGTTTGGAGGTTAAGTTTCCCTGGCATCTGCCCTGCCCAGCTGAGCCCCTTCCTTCTGCTTCCCTAAATGCCACGTCAGTGGGAACATGCTGGGGCTGGAACACAGAACGTCCCTTTCGGGAAATGCCTGACCAGGCCAGACCCATGGGTCAGACCTTGGTGCGAATGACGTTCTTGTCTGAGTCGATGTCGGTCAGTGTGTCGTAGTCGTCCTCCTCCACAGAGCTCATGGAGTCCACCCGTGGCCGAGTACCCACAGGTTCAAAGGAGCGGCCTGGGAAGAGGGGGACGGAGGGGTTGCACTGGTGGCCACAAAACCCATAGTGGCCCTCGCCCATCTGAGGCAATTATAAAAATTATTAGGCATTAGGGAAGAGGCAAATTGAGGGCTGGGGCTCAGAGTTGGGGTGGAGGTGGGCTCAGAAGCTGGGAGGAGACCTCAGGTGCCCCTAAGTCCTGGGGGAGGAAGGTAGACTCTAGAAGAGGCCAGCAAACAGGGGCCATTCTAGCTGTGCTCTGCTCCTGGCACCCCTCACGGGCTAGGGCTTCCCAGGCCAGGACACTGAGCAGACCCCAGGCCCCAGACCCAAGCAGCAGGATTGAACTCCGCGAGTCATGTTGATCAGCGGTGCCTGGTCCTGTGAGTTCTGAGAAGACACTGCCTTGGCTGCCACTGGGTTAAAGACCCAGTGGGCCTGGGGTGCAGAAAGGGCATCTCTCCTTTATCGAGAGGCCAGAATGTGATCCCCATGCCTGTGAGCCCTCCCCTGGCAGGCCAGGGAGTGAGGGCACTGTCAAGGCAGATGGTAAACTAGAATGTCCGGTCTCAGGGGAGCTGAGGCACCACCCAGCCAAAGGAGCCTGTGCCCTGCTGCTATCTCAGAAGACACAAGAGCGGGCAATTACTGGAATTACATGGGGAAGCCATGCACATAGAATCTTTCTGGCCCCAGAGCTGGCAGTCAACCAGAGCCAGCAGGCACTGATTGGCAAAGCAGCCCTCCCCACATCTACCCATGGCAATGTACAGCTGCCGCATCTGGCCAGAGGGGAGGCGCCGCTTGAACTGGTCATGCCCTTCAAAGGAAAAGGAAAGTTACCAGAGAACTGGGGCCAAGGAGGAGGGGATGAGGGAAGAGAGGGGTTAGGAAAAGAGCAGGCCCTTCCTGGGTTCCAGCACCTGGCAGAAGAGGCAACCGCCCACCATGATGTTTTACCTAGCCAGTGCCAGCCTGCACCACACAGCCCCTCCCAGCCTGGCCCACTCACCCTGGTAACCATAAGAGAGGTCCCCGGTGCCAGTGCTGTCAACGAGACCATCAGTGGATCCAGAACCACTCTCTGCAAGGAACGATCAGTGGTAAGGCAGGAAGGAGAGGCCGCAGGGAAAGGGGCTCTGAGCATCTGCAGAAGGTGTGGGGGCTGAAGGAGGTGGCTCCCACTTTATCGCCTCAGAGGTAGTGGCCTAAGGAGACCAGGTTGTACCCCAGCAAGCCTGGCCCTGGCTGTGACACATACCAAAGGAGCCATAGTTGTAACCCTCATAAGGGGAGCTGCCAGGAAAAGAATCCGCCAGGACTCGAGGGTGACCTGCAAAGAGAAGTCAAGGTCCGTTGGCACTGGACGAAGAGAGAGGCCTAGAGCCAGGGAGAACAAAGGACGATCCAGAGAAGACAGCCACAGGGAGGCCATGCCAGCGGCCAAGAAGCAGCCCCTACCCAGGCAAACACGCCCCACTGCCACCCCTACCACCCACCTCAGCCCCTGCCTGCCTCTCCCATGGAAATGGCGCCACCCTTTGTCTTCCCTCAAGAGACAGGACGTTCAAGAACCGGCACATCTAAGGTCCCAGCAGCAGGGACAGCATGTGGCCCGCCCACCTGCCCTCCGGACAGCCCTGCGCTCCACCTCCCTCCCACTCTAGACTCCAGCTCCTCTGCCCACAGCACCTGGAGCTTACCAAGGAGAGAAGCTAAGAGAGAAGGTCCCACGCAGAAGGAAAGAAAGAGAGGGAAGGGTGGAAGAGAGAGAGAAGGAAAGGTTAATCCCAGAGACCATGGGCCACACTGCCCAAGGCCGACAGGCAGCACCGCTAGACGTGGAATAAACCAAGCGACAGCCTCAGCCTGAGATGGGCCTGTTAGGACTGCATGGACATCATAGTTCAGCCTCACTCCCATCTGTGTGTTACCCCAGTCTGAACATCCAGAAGCTCCCACCCCTTCCTCCTCCAAACCCTAGGGAACCATCCACCACTGCCCCCCAAAACACAAAGCGCATTGTGCTCGCCCCACCCAGGCCCCCTGGAGGTACCGCTTTCTGGGCAGGCTCGGTCAATGGCCACCAGCAGGGTCTTCTTCTTCTGCCTGCATGGACAGAACCCACAGGCCACCCAGATGGGACAGGACAAGGATCCCTCTGTGCGGGGCTGGCTTTCCTTCTACCTCTCCACCCCATTCTCATCCCTATGACCCTGTCCTCCACCCTTGGTCCCAGGGTTCCTCACAGGCTGGGGAGCAATATGGGGTCTTCCTGCTTGGGAAGAAGGTTGAGGGGAGGGGATGGTTTCTAGAGAGACGTACGGGCCACAGACTCTAACAGCCCACCAACATCTGCTGCGGATGGTGCAGATTACCCTAGGCGGCTCAGATCCTGCCAGGTGATCTCCCCCACGCACCTGCCCAACCCACCCAGATCACGGACGGGCCCAGCAGTTCTACTTTACCTCCAGTTCTCCCAGCAGGCCAGGAGGACGGTCAGCAGGTAAAAGGAGAGAAATATGCCCAGGCAAAAGAGCATCCCACTGACGTAAGCCTCAGCTTCCAGGAGAAAACAGGAAGGTGACAAGTCAAAATCTTCCACCACCTCCCGTCATGGCATCCAAAGGCCCTTGTGTCCTTCTCTGCCTAGCCCAACCTCTCACCCCTCTCCCCTAGAATCTAAGGCTCTGCCCAGCCAGTATGAACAACTGGCAGTTCCTCTAATATGCCAAACTCTGACATACTCCTAGTTTTGCTCATGTTGCGCCCTGCGCTAGAACTTTCTCTTCTACTTCTTTTTTTTTTTTTCTTTTTTGAGATGGGGTCTTACTCTGTTACCCATGCTGGAGTGCAGTGGCACGATTATAACTCACTGCAGCCTTGAACTCTTGGGCTCCATCCTCCCACCTCAGCCTCCTGAGTAGCTGGGACTACAGATGTGTGCCACCACGCCTGGCTCATTTTTAAATTTTTTTTTTTAGAGGTGGGATCTTGCTAGGTTGCTCAGGCTAGTCTTGAGTTCCTGGCTTCAAACAATTCCCCTGCCTCAGCCTTCCAAAGTGCTGGGATTAGAGGCATAAGCCACCACGCCTGGCCTCTCAAAAACTCCACCTTGACTTCACCCTCCGACCACAGCTCAGGGACTGTCCTTTAGGAAGCCTTCTCTGTCCTACATTTCCACAGTGACCTGTCCTTTGCTCACCACAGCTCTTAACTGCCTCCTGTCCCTCTAGACAGGACCCCAACCCTCCAAGGACTGCTGCCCAAGCACACCACCTGGCATACAGGAGGTGCTCAATAAATATTTGCTGAATAAGTAATTCATATAAGTGAGGCATCCTCTGGCCAGGCACAGTGGCTCACGCCTGTAATCCCAGCACTTTGGGAGGCTGAGGCAGGCAGATCATCTGAGGTCAAGAGTTCGAGACCAGCCTGGCCAACATGGTGAAATCCCATCTCTACTAAAAATACAAAAATTATCTGGGCGTGGTGGAGGGTGCCTGTAATCCCAGCTACTCGGGAGAATCACTTGAATCCAGGAAGTAGAGATTGCAGTGAGTCAAGATCTTGCCACTACACTCCAGCCTGGGCAACAGAGCAAGACTCCATCTCAAAAAAAAAAGAGAGAGGCACTTTCTTTCCTCTCTTATCACAGTCCCATAGGGCTCCATTTAATCATATAGTAAATATTTATTGAGCACTGAGTAGGGGCCCGGTACTGGTACTTTCCTGCTAATTTTGTGCTAGCCCTCATAACTTAGTGAGATTAATTGGACAAATTTTACTCCCTCTGTTATAGAGACAGGAAAACTGAGACTCAATCAGGTTACACTGCTGATAAGTGTCAGACAGTGAACTGGACCTCAGTTTTTTTCACCTTTAATCATGAACTCTTTGTTCCACAATACACTGGCACTCACCTCCCTGCCCTTCCCATCTAGAAGCCTGCTGAGAACACTCTCCCTTCCTACCCACCAGCACATCTGCATCCTCCTCACCCGCTTCGGGGCAAACCCTGCATCCCAGGTCTGAAAGGAGTAGCCAGAGAGGCTTGTCCATCCCCACTCAGCCACCCACACTCACATGTGACTGCTTGAGATACAAGCACTGACAGGGTTTTCTGGCGGTGCCCTTGATCAACCGGTTCATCTGGAAATAAAATGTCAAAGTGGCAAAGTGGCTGCTTGGAGCTTGGCTAGAGTCAGTGGGACCAGACCTTAGAGAGACTGGAGGCAAAAGCCCATGTCCTGTGAGGTCCACCAATCAGCCATGCAGGCTCTTCTTGCTCCCAGAAAGCAACCAAGCCCGCCCCATCCCTAGCCAGGCCCAGGGCACAAAATGTACCTTCCACAAAGGGGTAGAAAGGCAAGGAGCCCCCACAGGCTTGGTCTTCGGTCTTCACCACCACCACCACATAAAAGCTGTTGCTGGGGAAGTCTTTGCGCTGCAGGATGATGATATTTACCATCACCATCCCCATCACCACCACCACCACCACCACCATCATCATCATCATCATCATTCTTTTCTGAATACTTATTCTGGTGCCAGACATTATGTTAAAACTCTTTTTTTTTCTTTTTTTTTGAGATGGAGTTTCACTCTCGTTACCCAGGCTGGAGTGCAGTGGCGCGATCTCGGCTCACCGCAACCTCCGCCTTCTGGGTTCAAGCAATTCTGCTGCCTCAGCCTCCTGAGTAGCTGGGACTACAGGCGCATGCCACCATGCCCAGCTAATTTTTGTATTTTTAGTAGAGACGGGGTTTCACCACGTTGACCAGGATGGTCTTGATCTCTTGACCTCATGATCCACCTGCCTCGGCCTCCCAAAGTGCTGGGATTACAGGCGTGAGCCACCACGCCCTGCCATGCTAAAACTCTTTATAGGCATTATTTTACTCAATCCTCACAAAGATTCTTTTTTTTCCTCTTTGAGACAGAGTTTCACTCTTTTTGCCCAGGCTGGAGTGCAATGTTGTGATCTCCGCACACTGCAACCTCTGCCTCCCAGGTTCAAGTGATTCTCCTGCCCCAGCCTCCCGAGTAGCTGAGATTACAGGCGTGTGCCGCCATGCTCAGCTAATTTTTGTCTTTTTAGTAGAGATGGGGTTTCACCATGTTGGCCAGGCTGACTTTGAAGTCCTGACCTCAGGTGATCTGCCCGCCTCAGCCTCCCTGTGTGCCGGGATTACAGGCATGAGCCACTGCACCCAGCCCTCTTATTGTTACAATGAATGAAGTAGGCATGACAGCCAAAAGTGGGTACTCTACTCTTTCCCATCCCCAAAAGCAACTGGCATTATGGTTCAACTCTTATAAATCAGAGGACTCAAAGTCACAGGAACTGGAAGGCCAAAGACTCAGTCTTGTGTAAGTTAGGAATGGGCGGAGGAAAAGGAGCTCGAGTTTGGAAAGTCACACAGCTCATCACCCAGCCCCACCTCCCCCATGGTCATGTGCATTTCCTACCTGCACGGTGATGGCTGCCTTCTTGGTCATTGTCTGGTACATGCCGATGAAGGCTACGTTGTTGTCCAGATCATAGACAGGGCACTGCAGAGGGGTGGGAGAGGCAGATGGATGGGAACCTGGCCTGCCCCTCTTTTTAGCAGCCCTGCTGCCTGCTGGGGAAGAGCAAAAGGGCAGGCAACTCACCAGCACATCCTGGATAGAGATGACCGAGCAGGGGAAGGCCTTGTTGGAGGTCACCTTGACAATCACTGAGTCCACACCTTCAGGGAACTCATACTTGAAGTACTGAGGGTGCAGGAAGGAGGGGAGAGCCCCATCTCATGAGGATGCTCTCTTGGCCCCTCTAGAAGGGAATAGTCCCCTATAAGCAAGGACCCAGAATCCCCTGAGGGGTGGGCAGTGGAGACTCTCTGGAGATAGGCCTTGACTGTAGCATCCCCCTTCTCTGTATACCATTCCCTTCAACCTCAGCAGGGGACTCGGGAATGCCTGAGAGGCAACGAGATCCCCTGTCTCTGCACTGTCCCATGCTGTCTGTCCCCCACCATGTCAGGGCCAGAGCCCCTGTTTCCAGAGAGCCCTCCATGGAGAATCAAGCCAATTCAAAAGTCCAAGCAAAGACTGCTGACCACTCCTATTCTCATATTCAAGCTCCCCCATTTCTCCTCTCGAGCAGTCAACAGGGAGATGTTACCTGGGGCTGGGCTGCTGTGGTGTTGAAGCTGAACTGCTCCCCGGTCCTGCAGGGCAGAGAAGAGCCCCCCTACAGTCACTCCCAGAGCCTGGGGAAGAACCAGCCCTCATGGTCCCCATGCTCTACCCCACAGACCTGAGCACAAAATCGTCCATGCGGCTGACCCGGAGCTGGTACGTGGTGTTGACCAGGGATAGGGTGGACACATCCACGTAGAAGAACTGAATCTCAGACTCATTCTTGGTGGGGGGCTGACACAGGGTTCGTTCCACTTTTTGGTAGAGGTACTTGCGCTGAAACCTGTGGCCCAAAGCAGAGAGACAGGACGTGAGCACTGTCCCAGCCGGCCTGCCCCTCCAGAAGAGCAAGGCCCCAGCATTCCCCCCACCCAGGCACTGGGGGCAGATCCTGGCCTGCCATAGCAACCAAACCACTCCCCGTTCTGAAAAAAATCAGATGCCCCATTCTCAACTCCATTGCTTCCCAATAAATGGCAGTCATAAAGAGACAGCAAGAGACTGGGGCATGAGACCACACAGCCAGGTTGCAAGAGTTCTCCCAATCTCAGTTCTGCCTGGGGTCTAGACTTCCCACACTAGCTGTGTCTATTTCAACTCAGGACTCACAGCTGGGGAAGAAACCAAAGAGAAGTCAGGGTGAAGCGGATTCTTCACAGCGGACGCCACCTCCCTGCGAGGTGCACAAGCTCCCAGCTGGCAGACTTGGCCCTGGTGCTGCTAACCAGCCTCCCAGCCCAGGGAAAGGGGAGGAGAAATGGGGGGCTCCTGGTTAAGGTTCCAGGCAAGGACTGGCCTAAGCCTAGGCCGCCCCCCTTCCCTGACGCCCAGATCCTACTCACATCCCTCGCAGGATTAGGGGCACCTGGAAGGACACCACAGCCTCCTTCTGGCGGACCACAAACAGCAAAGGCGCCCCCTTCTGCTTGTTCAGGACGTTCACGGACACACGCACGCCCTCTGTCTGCAGAATGACATGGAAACGCCTCTCAAGCCTCTGCCACCATGGACACGTGGCTCCAGAGCTCCAGAAACTGTGAGCCCTGCCCTCCCTCATGCCTGCCACTTTGGTCTTTCTCCATCTTGGTCAGGCCAGTGAGTCATCTCTGTCCTGTCCTCTGCCATTACAACCCCCGGACTCCAGGAGGGACCTGTGCTGAGCGCAGCTCCTGGCCAGCAGACATGTGCAGGGCAGAAGGACCCAAGCAACCACAGGGTCTCACTCCCTGCCAGGAAACACAGTGGAGGCCTTGGAAGCCTCCAGGATACCCCATTCCTGTTCATGTGCATAGGATGCACAGGCCTGCACACATGAAGACACAGGCGAGCAAGAAGTGCCCCTCAACCTTCTTCCTTGTAAGCCAGGAAGCCAGCAGGAAGCTCTAATTTAACAACTAACCTGGGGCCAGAGCCCAGAAGGGATGAGAAGGGGAAGGTATTGAAGACCATGTTGTACCCTTAGCTCTCACCAAGGGACAGGGCTGTGGAGAAGTCACGTTACTTCTCTGAGCCTCAACTTCTCCCTCTATAAAATGACACTCAGTTGGGTGCGATGGCTCACCCTTGTAATCCCAGCACTCCGGGCGGCCAAGACAGGCGGATCACCTGAGGTCAGGAGTTTGAGACCAGCCTGGTCAACATGGTGAACCCCCATCTCTACTAAAAATACAAAAATTATCCAGGTGTGGTGGCAGGCGCCTGTAATCCCAACTACTTGGGAGACAAGGCACAAGAATCGCTTGAACCTGGGAGGCAGAAGTTGCCATGAGCTGAGATCACGCCACTGCACTCCAGCCTGGGTAAGAGAGTGAGATAGGTCTCAAAAAAATAAAAAATAAAATAAAAAGATAA